AGAAGCATGCAATTCATTTTGTACGATCAGCTTCTCCAATTTATCCAGTCCAACACATTTCAGCCCCTATTAGTTGAATAGTTTTTACCTAAAACAATTCTGGTTTTGCTGGAACTTAATCATATTGAATCCTAAGCTCTACAAAAAGAGCTCTAACACATGAAAAAAAAAAAGAAAAAAAAGGCGCCAAATAAAAGTACAGCCCCACTTGGAAACTTTTAAGTCAGGACAACATGCGGCACATAAGAGGCTAAGAAGACTAAAATTTCATACTCAAAAAAAAAAAAGGCAAAAGCTAACTCATTAAAAAAAATAATAATAATAAATATACAAACCCCCGCAAGATACTTTAAGGTGTTCCTAGTATTAAAGACCGACTAATACTGGCATGTCTAATTGGAAATGTTGCCTTACTCCCTTAGCTCTACAACTATTCTATATTTCCTCCGTTTCTATTTAGTAGACGCGTTAAATTTAGGCATACATATTAAGGAGAGGAGAGAGAGTGAGAGAATGATAAAGTGGAGTAACTAGTAAATGCAAAGTAAAAAAACTTACCCAAAAAGGAAACATGTCAACTAAAAAAAACTTCCTAAAAAGGAATATGTGTCAACTAAAAAAAAGGAGGTAGGTAAGTACTAAAGAATCTATGTAAACTGGAGGCAAAAACACTGGCATATGAATCAGTCCTTCAGAAACAATGAGTGCCTTTAGAAAAATGTACATCACTCATTCCAAATAAGTGTCTTTCAAAGAGTACAAGTTGATAATTATTGCTAAGTATCCCACACTGACAAGTTACAAATAATAATATAGTGGTTTGTCAACAGAGAAATACATTGCATTAAATTTCAAATAGAAAGCATGGAATAAGAAAAGCTAATCATGAGGGAAGATAATATAGATTATAGAATGAAGGTAAACAGATCCTAGACAAACACAGCCTCATAAACCAAACTAGACACAGCTTAATTATTTTTATTATTATCTAATGAAACAAATGAACAAATCTAGAGTGTCCAGGATATATCTTAAACCATCCAAGAGTAAATCACTCAGAAAATTTAGTGCAATTAAAATCAAAGAGAGGTAAGAGACATAGGAGTTGCAGCTGGCCATTTGAAAATTAATTGATGGAATAGATGATGTGCATTCTAATGTAACGCACCTTTCACATCTTGCCTCAGAAGAGACATCAGGGCTTTCTGAACTGCATCCCTTTCCACGTTCTCCTCTGTCATGGAATAATACATTACAATCTGGAAAGTAAGCAAAGGTTTTACCAAGTAAAGCAAAACAAACATATCTTACCAGCCATGAGCAGTTGAGCAAGAATGTCCACGATCTTAGAGACATATTCTGGTGTATCCTTGCAGAAAAGGGGAAGACCCCTTATAGCTTGAACACGAACCTGCAAAGAGACTAAGAAGTTAGTGTTTCAGTCATACAAAGGCCCAAAGATAGAACAGCCATAAAATCAAAACATATGATGGCTATCAAAACCTTTGTAATACAAAAGGAAGATGTGATTTGTCTCATCAATCTTGTAATACATATAAAACAAACTGTGGGGTGAAAATCTACTAGCAGATGAAATCTCCAGAGCTCTACTGACAATAGAAGCAGCTTAAACAACACTTTTTTAATACAATAAACTAAGAATGCCTTTTACTCCACTATCATTGTCACCCTAACTTAACTGATTTCAAGGCACAATCATAAGACACAAAAATTAATTACCGCCAAGTCAAGGAGCCTAAAGAAAACCACAGCTGATGAAGCAGGTAAAAATCTCAAAGCTACAGACACACATAAGCAAGTACACATATATGCACAAGGATACATTGCAAAAAGCATAAATACGCCAAAAATAAACACAGTATCATGTCAAAATAATTTAAGTCGGAAAGGTATGCTTGAGTGGATAAACAAAAGGTGTAAGGATACTAGAGGACACTCTTGTTGTAAAGCATCTCATCCAAAACTTCACATTTGAAAAGATAGGATAAAATTAGGAAAAAAAAAACCAGGAAAAAAATGGACAACAGCTGTAACTCTCTAAGGCATGACATGACATGTAAGAGGTAACTAAAGATCTTACAACTCGTTCTTCATAACACTTGCTTACACAAGAAACTCCTGCCCTCTAAAAATAATCTTGTAAAGAATACTTTTGCTTGGTGAAGAATAAAAATCTTAAAAGGTCTACTATAAGAACAAGAATACTTGCAACACTCTAAGTTAACTATACCCTCCAGTAAAATTCTCACAAGGTAAAAAAGTATCCTTCTTGATTTCTTCCATACGACCATTACATCGTGGAGCCTAGTGGGATTGACTACGATATGTAGAAATATGGTAACATCAATTTTTGTCTCATGAGAAAGATCAAAAGAGCACATAAGCTACACCATCATTGATATATCAAGCTATACCATCATTGATATATCAACCACCTCAAATTAGGTTGTGCTTATTGTACATGTTCACAACAACACTCAAATCACTGCCTCCAAACTAAACACTTCATCTACTCAAAGAGTCACCTACTCACATAACCAAAACAGCATAACCTTCAACAAGGCACACTCTTTAAATAATGTAACAACCCATTATCCATCAGCAGACTTGCTACTCCAAGTGATCAGCCTTTCCTCCCAATTATTCTTTTATTCAAAGCTCAATATTTGCAAGAAGCTAGAAGAAACACATTTTGAAGATATAAAGGTCATGATGTCATCTCCATTTGTCAAGAAGGCAAACATACATTATTCGTTTCATATACAATTTCCGAGCTATGTGCACAATATCACCCAATCCCAAAAGCCATAAGAGTTGCATTTATACCTAAAGCAACCATTTCATTAAAGCAGCAACTTCAACCATCACTTGATGCAAACAAAGACCCCAAAGATGAGGGAGACATTAAGCAGCAACTTCACATATGTCAATAACCAACCTTTACAACGAGAATCTTATCTCTAACTACTAGTTTCACTTCCATTAAACCTTAAGATTACCAAAATATACTAAACTACAACTAAAAACGAAATTCGAACAAAACACTTCCGTCCAAACTTAGTCATCACATCATTAGTTCAAATTAAACTATCAACGCGACTATCAATTCAACTCGGAACGAATAAACAATCACAAGCAGTCACTGAAACTAGTAGAAAACACCAACCCCGAGGTCCTCTTCTTCGCACAAATCAAGATGAGCATCGACGGCACTACTCGAAAGTTCCGGGAAGTGTTTAAAAAACCTCGGAATAAGCTGAGCAGCCAATTGTTTCGCCTTCGAACTACCTTTCGCAGCCTTAATTATCCCCTCATAATCCTTCACATTCTACAATTCAGGCACAAAAACAAACAAATTCAGCACCAAAACAATCAAATTAAACACCAAAGCAAACCTAAAAAAAGAAGAAACCCTAGAAATTGAAAAAAGAGGAGAGAGAAAAAGGAGAGGAAACCTGAGACTTGTCCTTAGCTTCATTGAGACGCTCGCCATACTCGTAGAGGTTCTCAATGTCTTTGGCGTCGTCGGAGGCGGCGAGAGTGGTGGCGGAGGTGGTGGTGGTGGTGGCGGAGTCAGCCATTGATGAAGGAGAGGAGAGAGAAAAGCCTGGAAAGTAGAGGAGAGAGAAAATGAGGAAGATGAAAATGGAACATGAAATAAATTGAGTTTATAAAAATATATAGTGTGGGTTTTGGAGACTTACAGAGAAAACTGCAGAGGAGCGAAAATTTGAAGGTGTGTGTTTATTGAGAGAGTGGAAGAGTGTAGAAGAAGATGGGGGTGGAGTTTGGAGGAAGGAGGGTTTTGTGGGAAAAACGGTACAATTGGGAATTTTGGGAGTAAAGGATATGGAGGTGTATTTGAAGTTGAATTATGGCCTATTTACTAGCGCTTATTTTCAATTTAGTTTAGTTCATCTTTAATAAGTTCAGTTATTTCAATTCTTAATTTCCTTCTCTCATAAAATTTTCAGTTCAGTTTTAGCTCAATTCAGTAAATTAGAACAGGCCCTTAATAGTAGTATTCACAGTTGCAAGTAGAATGCTAGTAGCCTAGTCGGAGGTTATGGTTTTGTTTTCCACATTTATGGTGTGCGGAGGCGAGTAATTGTATGTCTCAATGTTGCCCTAGTTTTATTTGGTCGGGCTTTAAGATTCAACGTATTTTACATGCGGTTGGCCACACAATGTGGTTGATTGTAAAATATAACACAGTAACCCATATAGCACTGGACCGAGTAACTTTTGAAACACTGACCGAGTAACTTTTATAATACTGACAAAGTATCCCTATAAGGCTATAACACTAACGAAAAAACCACATGATGGCTGGCCACATATAAAAGTTGTTAAAAATTTTGTAGCTTTTGGGGTAAATTATAAGATTTTATAGTGGATGTCAACTAGTTTATTTGGTTAATTCTTACGGATGGTATTCGAAATTTGAAATCAAATCTCGTCTACTTCTATGTGGTTCTTTTTATAGATTTCGTCAACTTCCCTCCCCATGCGGAAATCGGTCTCCATCAATAAACACCATATTGTAAATTTGTAATCGCTTAATTAAAACCTATATTTCCTTATTTAGATCTTTTTCAGAAAGTGAAACCAATTTTAGATTAGTTAAGCCTAGTAATGATATTTTAAACCATATAGTATACATTACTAGGAGTTATTTACTCGTGAGGTTCAACCGTTCAAACAACTCTTTGTTGTATGAAGTAGACAGATGATTTAAGATAGTTGCATCAATTATTGAAGAACATGTCTATAGCGCGCTACATATGCTATATTACTCTGTACTATCATTTGAAAAACTAAAATAAAAAATTCTTGAGCTACAACTCTTGTATCTTCAACTTGTTCATTTTCGTTTTAAACCTCAAGACCCAAGTAAAGCAAGCTTGATTCCGGCGAAGAGAAGTCATCAATAATGTTCAAGTGTACTCTGCTAGCAGGCAACCAACATGGGGTTGAGGTTGGGGTGGGAAAAGTTACAATGTTATTATTGTTGTGGTCCAATTGGGTGATCAATATCAGTATCAGACTACAGTTACACACGGAGCATTACAATACAAGCATTGAACATTAAGGCAACAGAAAACTTTAATAGGAGCGGGAAGCAAGAAACTCATCTGCATCTCGAGCTTTATTCTACATTGTTTCCCAAATTCCACAGATATAATAAAGCTATCATCATTTTGAGAAGTACAAAAATTACATTGAAGGCATATTCAAGGCCTGCAACACATCCTTGAACTCGAAGTCTTGGGTCTGTTTGTTGAACCGTTCCACTAATTTGTACCTTACATCATTAAGATAAAAGGATTGAGTGGTCTCCAAAAGCACTTTTGCTTCCTCATCAGTGAGCTTGCTGGTAAATACTACGTCTCCGCGAACAAGTACCAAGTCTTTGGTATCTGCAAATTCAGTGTAGTGTGTAACTGTAATATAAGGAGATGCTTGAGTTCCTCGAGCTTTATAATCTTCCAGTCCAGTGAAAATAATGTGTGGGATCTTCACTGCAAATGATTTTACAGGAAACGTTTGAGTGGATAGAACAATAGATGCCCATAATTTAAAGAATCTCATCATTAGTCAACTAATCTGCAGCTGATACATGGAAATATCAAAAGTTGTCATTGTCATACAGAAGAAAAAAGACTGATTGCTAGTTGCTACTTAGTTCATGCTACTTTGAACAATGGCACGCACATCTTTACAGCAAGGTTCCAACATTTCATTTGGGGAGGACAATCAACAGAGAGAGTGTACAAGCATACATTTGATCTATTAAGTTTGATAACTCACAAGCCGACCGCAAGATGCTGACCTGACTGCTTAACTCAATAATGCTAGATTCAGGACATGACTTGGATTGACTGTGTAGTGTGTATGAACCAGATGGTATAGTCAGCCACAATCTAGTTTGGGCAGTTGGGTCTCTAAGTTACACCTAGAAGCCAAGAATAGAAAAGAACTTGAAGATGTCATGAGCCATGCATACCAAAGTTGAGAAAAGCATGTCATTAGCACTGACCGTCAAATAAATCATTTCACTGACAGATGTTGAATCCTGGACACTAAACACTAAAGTTATATAGGAAAAGATAGTTTGGCTTTAGGGAGCTCAAACACTGTATGAAGGGGAATAAAAATGGTAGCAAGTATGCAACTAAGACAAACAGAAATTCTCAGATATATGTGTCTTGTTGGTAGGAAGGTAACAGTTTTAATGGGCAATATGAAGTGTTCAGCCACACCACTGCTGAAGAACATAAGTGAATCATCTGGACAGCCTAAGACTCTCCCTTATCTCTTCATCTGCTTGAAGAGGGTTCCTGTGGTTAAAACTATTTTGGAATTATTTGCAGCCCACAATTATGTATACTATTACCAGGGCATCTGGTGCTACTGTAATCGCTAAGAAGATACATGGAGGCTACCACAAAATTGATTACATCACATGTCAAAGTTAAAGTCAATACTGCTAATCAGCGTTACTCAAACTCTTCAATTCACCATAATTAGCATGAATATGGATATATTAAACTTCTTTATGGATCAACAAACGGAGATAAGTCCAAGTAACATTGCTGCAAATAACTTTGCTTGGAGGAAAGACATATTTTTAAATTACATTGAACATGGCGAAAAAAAATATGAGCTGATGAACATGAGCTTAAATAATACTCCCTTCATTTCATATTGATCTTCCTACTTTGGCCAATTTTGTCCCACAAAAAGATTTCAAATAGGAAGAACAATAAGAAACGAAGAAAGTTCAAAATACCCCAATGCTCCAGCTCAAGAATAATAAGCAACATAGAAGCAGCAGAATAGATAAAACAACTGTAGATAAGGTACAACCATACAAGTAGAAGACTCACAATTCTATCCAAGCAAATTTTTTATCTAAAAGTACACTACGAGGCATGGGCTAGCAGCCAACGTTCCTACTAAAAAATGACTACATCATCTAAGTAGGCAATTCTGGTAATTTGCTAGGCCTTACTTGTCACAACATTTTTATTTTATTTTTAACGGGACACTTCTCACAAAATTAACTATCAGAAATCAGAATTCTAAAGCACTACTTAAAGCACCTACACAAGTACTCAGGTTCCAATTGATGATCAATTCCAATCAGTATTATATCATAGGGGCCTAGGTTAGTAGTCGCAGCAACCCTCAAATAGAACTTCTCGCATTCTTCCTTATATGCCCTATTCCAGTTTCACCTCAAACCTTCCCATCTTCCTCTTCATTCTCTCTACCTCTACATCTCTCTTTTTCATGACTTAGAGCCATTACAAAGGCTCGAGCGTAACCCCCCTCATAAATTTACGCCTTTTACAGGATGGCTTGAAGTAAGTACAAAGTTGGGGGGAGAAGAGGAAAATCACTATAAATTTATGCTGTTCATGACACAATGCACTATATAGCATGCATACAGAATACAGTAGCATTTGTAGGCTATCTGTAAAGCTGTCATGTTGGCACCTCCAACTGTTGAAAAATGTAAATCTTAATACTAGTGTGCCTAAATTCCTATGCTGATATACATACAAGTGATACAACAATACAAGAAAAATCCAACAAAAACAAAGACGTTACCTAGGGACAAATAAGCTCATCATAAAAGTCCAAAGAAGTCTAAGTTGACAGCATAATCAATTCTTTTCAGCCGAATTATTGACACTATTTTCGTTTAGGTCAACAGCATACCTATCACTAAAAACTGAAGAACGAACTAGAACCAAATTATCAATCAATCAAAGCCTTAATCTCATAAGTGGGGTCAGCTACATGAACCAAAAGTGATCATTCCGTGTAATCCTCGACAAAAATCTTCCTCCTCCATCCCTTTCAATCCAATGTCTCATCCTCATGAAATTCATACACTTCATATCCTTTCTAACTCCTTCCAACCAAGTCATTTTCGGTCTCCCTCTCCCTAATTTAACCCCTCCATGGTCCCACCCTTCCATTCTTCGTACCAATTCAACATCTAAAAAATTTGCATGCTGTAAAAATAAAACAAAATTTTCAAAGTCTGTTTCTTTCTTCTAAAAAGTGCTAAAATTAATTCTTATGAAATAATTTGTTCTTTAGGATGGAACACCGAATACATAGTAATGAGTAATCTAGAATAGAGCTTTACTCACTAAGCTGCTTTGGGCTTTGGAACATATAAAAAAACAAAACAGCAAGACAGCAAGTCATATCGATGGACAGGTATTATTATATCAGAGGCAGAAACCTACAGTATTTCACCATACCAAGCATTATATCTTAATTCGCTAAGAACCTCCTGAGTTACAGAGTATTGCAATTCAGAGCAGTAAGAAGAGCTCAGCACGATTTTTTGCCAAAAACTGCAATATTCGAACTTATTGCAGACATTCTTTTAGAGTGGCACACTGGCATGTAGAAGTATAGACAGTTGCTTTGTAAGTTTGTGCTGTAATACCCAAGCAGATGCTAGAGCCTAGAAGGTGGGGGTAGAGGTTATACTGATTCTTTTATAGGGATTTTAGGACTATTTCGATAGTGTTATAGATTGATCATATTATCTTGTATCTACATTCAATATAGTAATGACCAAGAAATTTATACATTTTTTTATTTCACACAGTGAGCCATTCTAAAACTCTAAAGTCCCGTTGTAAATTAGCTTTAAAATGTGCAGCTTTTCATTATCTATTCTGTAAGGAATCTCACCTTGAGAAAACATGGTTGTGTATCCATTTCCTCTCCACAAGGGAATGACATAATATTGACTGCAAGAACAACAAAAAGGCATCATAAGAAATTTTCATAGACTAACAAGAAGCAATTTATATGATGAGCAATACTACAAGAGAATACCAATCAATTGCCCTTTGCTCGAATAACTTGTACATATTTGCTTTCATTGTAGCACCAATATGACCTCTTCCTAAGTGAAACTGAAAATGAACGAAAGCCACATTAAGTGCATATTACAAAGGCATGTAATGCAAGAAAAGAAACAAAACATACCAACTCCCAAAGACATGAAAGTAATAAATACACTCTTTTATGATTAATTGCGAGCATATAAGTTATTTCAAAAGCCCAATTTGTCCAAAGCTTGACAAAAATCGGATTATATCCCATTTATAGTTATGAACATATCCTGAGACTGCAAATGACACGAGCAAAGCTAAGTGAGATGCTAATACATCTTCGGGCATATACAATACAACTCACAAAATCAGTTCCCCATCTATAGCAACGAAACTTTGTGAATGCACAATCAACACACTCATTGCAGTAGACTAAGCTAATTGTCAACTGTAATATCATTCTGGTTCTTAAAAGTAGCAATGTGAAGGCATGCTTGACAGCAAAGCACTAATATTTCTCTACATACATAAAATCAAACAATTTATACCCACAAATTACCTAAACATTTCAATTCAATAAACACAATTCCAGCATTGCTCTTTCCCACTGACTGCCAATCCCAAGCCCGGGTAATGGCGGATGATCGCGGTATGTAGCAACCGGCATAAAACTTAGTCACACCCATTTACTAATCCGTTCAATTGGGATTAAGGCTTCAACATTGTAAAGAAAACCAAACAACAAATATATTCAAATTCAACAAGAAATAATTGAGAAATTTAAAAACTAACAAGGTAAAGTCAAGTCAGAATGCATTTACATCATCCCAAATTGTAGCAAGATCCTCAGGAGTCTTATACTTAGCTCGCTCAACATCCATGATTGAATTCAATGGTTTCACTTCAAATGGAGAAAACCCAGATGCAAATTTTGATGTACGAACAAAACCCAGTGAACCCCATTTCAGGAAGTTTCCTGGGGTAGCAGTCGCAGCTTCTTGTAGTGAAGAAGACGAGGTTTTGTTGACAATACCATGAATTGAAGATGATGCAAGTTTGCAAAATCGTTGCATTGTAGTAGTGGTATAATCAACTCTAAATAATCAAATGACTAATTTGAGAAGGTTAAGTTTAAATCCAGGTTAAGAGGGGGATTTTTTTATTGAAGAGTTCGATCAAGCATTTCATCGAACAGGTGGTGGGCAAATTTACGAGCTACAGTCTACGGGAGTTTTGTTGGGCAAAGTTAAAAGAATAATTTTGTTCGGGATTTTGGGTTGCATTGCATTGGACTTGGTTAGATAGTTTGGGTTGGGTCATACTTTTCTATTTTAAGTAGTGAACAAAGTGAGGTCATGTCACAAAAATGGGATTGAAATAACCCCCTCCACTTGTGTTGTTTGAATTTATTTTAGGAAATTTGATTTTTACCACAAAAAAATTCAAAAAATTGTTTTTTTACCACCAAAATTTCTTAAACTTTTATTTTACCACCAAAAAAGTTCTAAAAATTATTTTTTACCACCTAACGTCAAGAAAACCGTTAAATCTAACGGTTTTAAAAAAATTTCTTCGAATTTTGTGCGCAAAACATGCTTTTTATAGGTTTAGTGGGCTATTTTGGCCCTATGAATCCAATTTGAGGTCAGAATTGACAAAAAATGATCGGAAATATCTCGTTTTACGTGTTTACGCAAATTGAGATATTTTTTAAAACGCAAAATGAGACATTTTCGATCATTTTATATCAATTCTGACTTCAAATTGAACTCGTAGGGCCAAAATGCCCCACAAAACCTCTAGAGAACATGTGTTTGACACGAAAATCGAAGAATTTTAAAAATTCCGTTAGATTTTTGACGACAAGTGGTAAAAAATAATTTTTTATTTTTTATTTGGTGGTAAAAAATAATTTTTTGATTTTTTTTGGTGGTAAAAGTCAAATTTTCCTTTATTTTATGAACTTATATAAAAAAATTTAATCTAAATTTGTTTCAATGTAATGTCCACTCATTGTATCTCCAAATAATTGACATATTTGACAATATTTAATCATTACTACAAACTTTATTAATCTTGAACATACTCTTTATTAACGTATTAAAAATATTATGAAATAAGTTGTTATATAGGTATTAATATATACGAAGTTGTTTTATACCGTCAATTTCTTTTATATTTTTAATACTAATATTTAATTATATATATAAATTTAAAGCCAAACAATTGCAGTGGCATACATGTCAAGTTTGATTGTGCCAATTATTGTGGGACAAATCACAATTATTGTAGTAAATAAATTCGAGTTGTGCCCAGTTAATTCCCCAGGTAAACATGGGGGTATAATCGTCTTTTCAAGTACCGGTGGAGGGGTACATACGTCTTTTCATGTACTAGTTGAGGGGTACATGTGTAATTTCCTAAATGCAAGTTGCAAAATGTAATTGGACAGCTCACCAAAAGTGGAATTAATTTGCGCCAGGTATATATGGATGGGCCTGTGTTGCATCCACATTTTAAGCTCAAAGAGCCTCTCGAGTAAGGGAGAGTGATAGAGTATAAAACATATTTTTGAACCTCAAACATCAATTTAGGGTTTGTTCTCATTGACTGAACTGAGCTGAACTGAACTAAACATAACTTATTAGAGCCGAACTGAACTGAAATGAATATTTTATAAGAGAAGGAAATTAGGATTTGAGCTGAACTGAACTTATTAAAGCTGAACTGAACTTATTAGAGCTAAACTGAACTGAACTGAAAATAATTGTATGACAATAGACCCTTAATTTTCTGGTTGAGTTGACCAACTAATAAGATTGAAAGTTTGGAAGTAATAAATAAAAACTAGGAAAGGGATGACAGGGGTGACTACCCTCAATGGTCAGAGAGAATGAGGGCAACCACAACTTGTTATTTTGTTAAGGAAGAAGATTCGAGTCATAGTGTATGTTCAGGCTACTTTTACTATTTGAACAGGTTTATTAAAACAATATTGCTATATGAAGTGAATGATGGTCCTACGCCTTTAAATTATCTCATTCATTAAGGCATGCTCTCCTATCCCCACATCTCTTCTTGCATGGATGCATTCAATTCAACATAATTTTCACAATTATTTATCAAATTTTGCAATTACCTTGAAAACATGATATTAAAGTCCTAGTTTGTATCAATGTAACTTAATTCTATGTTTTTTTCCTCAACTTTAATCATTCTTTTTGATGAGGAGGTAATCTATCATACTTTTATTACAATTGTTTTCTAACTGGAAACATAAGAAATAATAACGAATGTTTCGACGTCAATAATCATTATACACTTGTTTGATTAAACTTAGAAATACAAAATGTTACAAATTAAAGTATTTTTCAAGTGAAATTGCTTTGTAAGTCGAATGAAGTGTTGTTTTTAGGATTATGAATACGAGTAGGATTCCACTATATTGTTTGGGAAGTAAACTCAACTTTCTCAACTAAAATTTCTTCTTCTAATTTTTTTTTTGTTTTTGTTTATTTTCATTATAAAAGGTCAAATGACTAAAAGTTGATAAAAGAAAAAAGTAGAGAAAAAAATTGGAAGAAATGGTGAGCAAAAAGCTGGCCACTTGTTACGTAAAATACGAAGTAAAGCAATAGTTGAGACCATATGCAATTTGAACTGGGACCTTACACGGTTACACCTTACTCGTAGAATTTATGCACAATTGCACATCATAAATTCTCAGTAAATAACGCAGCCATATATTCATACTAGTATATTTCTCTAATTATGGTCGAGTTTTCGTTTTCAAGGGGGGAAAAGACTCAAAGAGTGACAAACTAAGAAGAAATGAAATGAATAGTGAATTAGTGAGGGATTAAAGTACTTAAATAATTGGTGTAAATTTAAAGTACTTCCTCTCTTACCTTCATGATAAATAGTTACTTACTCTATCCGTTTTATAATAATTGCAAGTTCGCAGTATTTTGACTGACACACATGTCAATGCATAACTTTGACCATTAATATTTGTAGTTATATATTATTAAGAAATAAAAAAGTAAGCATATGAATAGTGCAAAAGTCAACGTGTTGCGATTATTATGAAATTGAGAAAGTATGCTATTTAAGGTGTCGAAGAAGCTTACTTTAAAAAACAAATATGTTTTCCAAAAAAAAAAAACAAATATGTTTATGTTTGAAATTCATATTGTATTATGCTTCAATTAAGTAGCTTGGGTAGTACTTTCTCTATCTCAAAATAAAATTCTTATCCTTCTTTTGACCTAAAATTTTCTGTCTCAAAATAAAATTCTTTTCTTTCTTTTGACCTAAAATTCTGTCACAAAATAAAATTCTTATTCTTCTTTAGACCTAAAATTCTTTGTCTATGGTTCAATATCTATGCTTAGCCTAAAATAACTAGTACGAGTAGTAGTTGTTTAATGTTTATTTCACCTAAAATTCTCTGTCTATGCTTCAATGTTTAGCATAATAGCAAATTAAATAAACAACTATCGGAGTACTCCCTTCGTTTTTAAATACTTGCTCTATTTCTCTTGGGCAGTACGTATGCCGATGCTAATATTTGATCACTAATATATTTAATTATCAATAAGTATAAATTCTAACAATTGAAAATTAATAATCTATTCATTGAGATGATTCTGACAAGTACCCACAAGATTATATTTTTTCTTATGTAGAAATCACAAACATTAGTCAAAGTATGACAAATAAATAGTACAAAAAATAGAATTGGAGCAATTATTTAAAAACGGAGGGAGTACTAGTTAATAATACTTGTAATTAGTTGGGTTATGTGAGCATTAGTATTGATTCACAAGAGGATGTGGGAGAATGAAGACAAAAATTAAAGGACAATAATAGAAGATGGAAAAGTTATAAAATTTAGCTCATCTAATAAGCGACAATCTAATTATTATGTTTCTTGATGAGAATCATTGACTATCAATAACTCTACAAATACCCGTGAAAAAGTTTAAAGCTCTATGAACTTCATTTGATCATCTCAAGAAGAAGAAAAGAAGTATATATACTAATTAGTCAATTAGATAAGGTAGGTGAATCATGATAAATATTAATTAGAGCTATTTAAGTTGACTAAAAATTATACTGAGTAATAAGGTTTAGTATGCTCAAATAAGTTCACTTAAATATAAATGAGTTTAAATACAAAGTAATTGAATATATTAGATGAAAAAACATACCACGATGTGAGTATTTATATAAGCATGTAATACATATCTTGTACAAAACTTTCAACATAGCTCATTGTATTGTTAATTTGTTATTTGCCCGGTCAGACTATAATACAATTTGCGGTGACCTTCAATTATAGAACATTTATAGAATCAAACCAAAAAAAAAAAAAAAAAAAAAAGAGTTATATCAATAAGTAATGAATTGTTTAGTACATACATAACCTCTAATTATTTACTATATTCGTTTTATATTATTTACAATGATTAGACATTTTTCCAAATAATATGAAATAGCGGTATTATAAATTTTGTTAGGTTAAGCTTTAACGAACAAACTAAATAATAACATAACATCTTGAAAAAAGTAACTGCAAGAATTTAAGTAACGTACTTGATAGGATCTTTTAAAATAGTACGGAGTACCTAGTTACTTTTGTGGCATTCACGGGTAGGTGTTGAAGCTTGATCTTTTAAAATAGTACGGAGTACCTAGTTACTTTTGTGGCATTCACGGGTAGGTGTTGAAGCTTGAAGTTGATTCCCCTATGGATCCCATTTAGTGCTGTCAAATTTCAAGCCGAAACCGTTTAACTATTCGAAACCAACCGACCTAAATAAGAACCGAACCGATAAAAAATCGATTTTGTAAAACCAAAAACCGACCCGAACCGTATTTAAGTAAAACCGAAACCGAACTGATTCGAATAATGTCAAACCGTATAAGAACCGAACCCGTTAACAAACCGAACCAGTTTTAAACCGAACTGAAATCAAACCGAACCGAAAAAGAGCCGAACCGTTTCTAACCCGAAACCGTTTCCAACCCAAAACCGTTTGAACCGAGGTAAAAACCGTTTACACCGAACCGTTAACAAACTGCAACCCGTTTGCACCGAACCGTTTATAAACCGAACTGTCTATAAATGAAACTGTAATTTCGATCTCACAATAACTCATCAAATCATGATTATGACACATCAATTAGATGAATGAATAAGAAGCAGCTAATAATGTGATAGTAAAACAATAATAATTCATTAATACACTAAACTTTTATAATCTAAGTTACTTCGTAATAAACTAGTAACATCAATATGACTAAACTTGAAAATAACATGATATGTATTTTTAAAATCGATGAGAATTTGTATATAATATAATGGGCCTAATGCCTAAATATGAAGTGATGAAGTCTCGGCTTGATATAAAACTTGTTAACCAACAAAAGGTTAGTTAGCAAGTACTATGAAATTTCAAACCATTGTTTAACTACCCGAATCCAAACGACCCGATTAAAAACCGACTTTTTGAAATAAAAAACCATTCTGAACCATAATTTAGTAAACGTGAAATGGAACTGATCCAAATAACGTTAAATCGAATAAAAAGCAAACCCGTTAACAAACCGAACCAAAATAAAACTGAACCGAAAAAGAACTGAACCGTTTCTAACTCGAAACCGTTTTCAACCCGAAACTGTTTGAACCGGTATAAAAACCGTTAACACCGAATCGTTAACAAACCGCAACCCGGCCGTACCGAACCGTTTACTTCCCGAACAGTTTACAACCGAACCGAATTAAAACCGCTCAAGAATAAACCGAAATCGAATCGAACCGATAACTATTTAAACCGAGCTGAAACCGACCCGTGATACATTTAAACCGATTTCAAACCGACCAGATTTAATACCGAACCGATTTCAATCCGAACCGAACCCGAACTGTCAAACCGTTTTGACAGTGCTAATCCCACTACATTGCTTTCTGTTGCGCAAATGCGCTATACCATCAAGTACACCAAATTTATACCTGTTTTTTTATTGTACATTTTTCTTCAACTTACTACATTATTATTTATAAAATTAAACACTTCTATTAAGAAGGACCTGTTATGATTTACTGAATTGAGATAAAATGAACTGAACTGAACTAAATTAATTGAGCTGATCTGATAAATTGTATATGAGTGAAGGAAATTAGGAGTTGAGCTGAACTGAACTGAACCGTTTGGAGCTGAACTGAACTGAAATTAAGCTGAAGAGAACAAATCCTATTAACCTATTCCATGAATTTATAAAATCCACATTATCTAGTTTTGAATTACATACTTTCAAACAAAAAGTGATTACTTTAATTTGTTGGAAGTAAATTAAACTTTAGTTCTATAACTTCAACTTCTAGGAAGAAACGGAGGTAGAAAATCGTTTAATTGATTACAAAAAGGTGCTCCTTTATACAAATATTGATATTTACCATCAAACTATCAAAGTGATATAGATAATCATTGCAATTTAAGGCCATACACTTGAAAATAGTCTCCATTTATTTAATCCACTTATCCTTTCTTAGATTAACAGATCGAGTTTCTGCAAAATGTTGGGGTAATGTTAATGTTAATACTAAAGTTACATAATTATAACCATATTTAATTAATAAATTGATATTTATCTTACTTCTTATAACAAAATTCAACATTAACATTCTATATACAGTATTATTTTACAAATACTATTATACTATACTTTTTTTTTTAACGGGACAATTATATTATACGGATTCCTTTGTAATATAATAATCCATACAATAAGTCGACTATCCTACACCATAAGTTAAAATTTTCGTTCATAAGTGGTCCTTAAAATATTTTTCCATATATTCTTTCTGCACAGTGCACACAAAATGACTCCTGGACATACACTTTTCACTTTGTCCTTAAGCTACCCATATCCTAATTCCTAAACAAAACATGTCCTCTCTTTTTTCTTCTTCTTCTCCTTCTTCTTCTTCTTCTTCTTCTTCTTCTTCTTCTTCTTCTTCTTCTTCTTCTTCTTCTTCTTCTTCTTCTTCTTCTTTTACCTCCTACGTTACCCCTACACTATGTACCATCCTTATTATTCTCTTGACCACCATAACCACCTCACATTCTATCGTAAGCGGTCCGCCACCACCGGTGATCAAAGCCGCTAAAAACGCCACTCACGGCCACCATCGGAAGCTATCGATAGATTACTACGCCAAGACGTGCCCTGAGGTGGAGAAGCTTGTGGCTTCCGTCACGTCGGAGCAATTTAAAGCTGCTCCCGCTATTGCTTCCGCTACTATTCGGCTTTTCTTCCATGATTGCTTTGTTGAGGTACATTATATTCATGCATAACATTACATTATCTATCTAATTATTGTAACTTTATGTTATAAACACATATACGTAGGTTGAGGGCTACTTAATGATTATGATACAATTGTTATATGAATAGTAACAATTAATGTAGTGTAATATACTTTTAATGTATCATATACTTTCCAAACTATTCTTCTTTAATTATAATTTTAATCCCAAAAATTACTAGTACACTAGGCTCCTTGATTAGAGTCTTAATTACAAATTCGTTTTTACACTTTCACTATTTTAAAGCACATATGTAATTCATATCTATAACAATTTGCTATTTGTTTACGTGCTCTCAAAAAACAAAAATGGATATATGATTTTTTTGAATATGTTCATTACTTAATTAACCATTTCGGTATGTATAAAATGAATTTGAATTTGATATAAAATGGATTTCTTGAATTTGATATAAGATATATTATACTTCATCCATTGCTAATAGTTCTTTCTTAAATGTTTTTTATTTATTTAATATTTTGTTACAATTCTTTAATGTTTTTATATTTTTATTTTGTTCCATTTATTGCAAGAAAATTTTACCATATAACCCTCACTCACCCACCACAATTCATTCTCTTGTAATATTTTTGTACCGTATAAGATTTGACCTTCTATCCTTTTGAACTGATGTGATATGCTCTGTTCTGTTAAGATTTGACCTTCTGTCCTTTTGAACTGTTGTGGTATACTCTGTTCAGCTCCTTTTAGCTTACTCAAAAGCTCAAAAGAATAGGACCTAATATTGTTACTCCATAAATAATTAACAGTCGCTCATTTTTCCACTTGTTGTTTCACCTTTACACTCTCTTTGTTAGTGTCTTAATTTAATTAGTTCTTGTGCAAATTGGAGTAAGTGTCTAGGGTATTTTGTAGCGTAGGTAGTAAATACATGATATGATGATGATGGTCCAATGATTTCGGGTTAGTTCTGTTAGTTTGAGGGAAGGACCAATGCATGTTAAGAATTTATGATGGTACACTAATGAGTATAGTGTATTGCACCAAAAGGGAAAATAATAATTATTGAAAAGGATGGAAATTTATGCGTTCTTGTTAATGGAAAATTGACTAGTTGTTGCACACAGTAAAGTGTAATGTGATGCAACTCTAGCGTGTATAATTACACGAACATAAAAAAAACAATGGTGTCCTTAAAAGGTAGAAAGTAAGAATATTATTTAGGCTTTTAGAAAGACCAAAAGGTCCATGACAAATCGACAATCTTACTCACCCCTTTGATCATCTAAATAAACCCCCCACCCTTCTTACCCCCCCCCCCCTCAAAAATGTGTTACTGTTAAATCTTATTATCGGCGAATTCAAACCACAATATAATAATTTGATCTAAAAGTAATAAACATAAGTTGAACAATCGATCACTAGAGTTTTGTTATATATAACAGTTGAGAATTATTATAACATGTTATGTTCTTTCCTTGTTTAATTCTAATACATACTTAGGAATTATCAAAATAGGTTATGTCCTTTTTCGTGATTAATTATGGTGACATACCCTCTTTTTTTTTTTTTTTGGTCTAGGGATGTGATGCATCAATATTGATATCGTCTAAGCTAGGAAGCAAAGAATTAGCCGAAAGAGATGCATCACAAAACAAGAATTTACCTATTGAAGCATTCGAAGGTATCAACAAAGCCAAAGCTCTAGTAGAGGGCAAATGTCTCGGAGTTGTATCTTGTACAGACATTCTTACAATCTCAACTAGGGATTATGTTCATTTGGTAAGTTGTCCTAATCTTATTTCTTTTACCTACTTGAAAACTAATGTGTCAAATTTTTGTACATAAAAATTTCTAGGAGCAAGACTATATAAACGTGTATTGACAAAATTATTCATCCTTAAAAGCTGAGAATTATAATAGTAATTACACTCAAGCCGAATTTCGGACTTTGTCTTTGTATGGGTAGCCTTTTCTAACCGAAAATGGATTTGAACCTTGGAAAAGATAACTATAAGAATCGAAATGTTTTTTTTTTTTAACTATTTTATCTTTAAATTCACTCCAATAATTTAATTGAATACATATGATCTGATTAGGCTAGGTCAATTGTTGATTATACGCGATTTGACTTCAGATCACCTATTCATCTTCACGTATACCTCATTTAAGTTGTTAATGATAGGACGACTCGTCATTTTTAATTTGTTATAACTTGAGAAGGACAAGAAAATAGTGCAACTCAAAGCCAAACTAAGACAATTACAAAACATATCCATGCCAACTTTTGCACAAGAAAACAAATTCAAGTTAAGATTAAACAAATACTCTAATTTGGTTTATTGTATTATCTTGGAGAAGAGGCTCTTAAACTGAAATCAAACGACAAAATCAGATCAACCTTTTTCTTATTTCGAAGAAAAAACCAAAATTAACCCGTGACAATGAAAAATCTTTCTAGATTTCTTAGCAAGTAGGACAAATTATATTGTAATAATTAGTGCATGATGAGACCATATAATATGTATGTTTCCTCAAATTATTATGGGGCAAATCATAATACTTCATTAGTTGGGAGTCAAAAGCTGCACAAACTGCAAGGTCAAATTGTGGTGCTTTGAGCTATGTACAGAACACTGCAGTTGGAGACTTGTAAAAAACAAGATGTTAAACTACCCAATAGCCCAATAGTGGGAATTAATATATGGACAATATGTAGTGGTCAATTAATATTATTTGAACAATTTACAAAGACAATAACTAATGAAATTTTTGACAAAATTAATCTAGATTTTGGATGATTAAATTTTTTTTTAAAAAATCCTAATTTTTACCATCTTCAGATTATATTCTAAGTATAAGAAGAAAAAAATTCTAAGGGTATATTATGAATATTTATACTCATATGTTAATCACATACGTGTGTGTATATATATATTGACATGCTTTACATTATCAACTATAAGTTTTTAGATGGATTATACCTACATGTGACAATTGTTTTGAAGGTGGTAAGGAATTGAATAATTGTATGACCCGTTTTTCCGCCAATAAATAATTGTTATTGAATTATCGTATGAATGATTACAGGCAGGAGGTCCTTATTATGAAGTGAAGAAGGGAAAATGGGATGGAAAGATATCAAAAGCATCGCGTGTGCCTTCTAACATTCCTCACACTAATGCCACCGTTGATGAGCTCTTGAAGCTATTCAACTCAAAAGGGCTAAATATGGAGGATCTCGTTGTTCTTTCAGGTTAGTGGCGGATCATATATTCTATATATTATACAAGGTGTAATTAATCTATCTCCATTTTCCGCTTTTAATTTTCATATTGCTTTACTTTGATACCTCAATTTTAAAATTTAAATTTATATTTGTCTATGTGTCAGGTGCACATACAATAGGGTATTCACATTGCAAGTACATTATCAATCGAATATATAATTACAAAGGTACTAAACAACCACAACCAAACATTGATCCGAAGTTGTTGCAAGCTTTGAGAATGTATTGCCCACATCATGGTGGAAATGAAGATATTGTGGTTCCATTTGATGTTACCACACCTTATACATTTGATCATGCATATTATGGAAATCTAGAGAAAAATATGGGAATTTTGATAACGGACCAAGCCTTATACTTAGATCCAAGAACTAAGCCTATTGTACAAAGTCTATCCAAGGATAAACAGAAGTTTTTCAAAGCATTTGCTCAAGCTATGGAAAAAATGGGAAACATTCATTTGAAAAGAGGAAGAAAACATGGGGAAATGAGGAAAGATTGTAGTTCGCACATGTAATAATGGGATTTTTTTTTTGACGGGCACATGTAATGAGATTTTATACATATACCCATTAATTTTTTTATTTTTAATTTGTTTTTGATGCTCGATTTTCTCTCTAGTTATTGGATATGTCCAATATTGTATTTAAAATAGTTAAACGAAATTGGACCCAACCATTAACATAGTGAATTTAATAATAGACAAGCTAATTACCAAAATAATTAGCTACTTAATGAAACTCATTGTAGTCCACTTGTGAGTGTCCCACATTGGAGAAAGAGGAGAGGTGGTTCCACTTTATAAGGTAGAGGAGTTACTCCTATTATTGCCAATTGGTTATGGAAGCTCCTAATCTTTGTTTGTGGACTAACTCTCCTCCTCCTTGTTTGGGTTGCCCAGACCCATTTCATATTGTTTCGAAATTTAACACTACTCATTATCAAATCAGAAGTCCGACATTAGAATACCTTCACTAGAAATGGGCTAATTATTCAGTTGCAAGTTTAAATTATTATACTTCATCCGTTATTTTATTATTGCACCACTTGTCTTTTTAGGAAGTTTCACAAATATTGCACCATTTCCTCTTTAGGAAAAAAAATTATTTGTGTTCACACTACAAATACCCAACATACCCTTGCTTTTTCATACTTACTTTTTAGTTTATCAATATATCACATGGGCAATTTTGTATTTTTATCTTTCTCTCTCTTACTTTTTTCCACTATCAAAATATTTGTACCCAACCCCTATGGTGCAATAATAAAAAAACGAAGGAAGTATATGAGTATCTCACAAATAAAGTTAAAAAAGGTATACAATTCTTTCCACATCCATTATAATCAACAAATCCGTTGTAGTCTAGTTGGTCAGGATACTCGGCTCTCACCCGAGAGACCCGGGTTCAAGTCCCGGCAACGGAAAATCCTTTTTTCTTTCCTTCTTTTTTTTTTCTTTCCTAACTATAAAATTGGCGGGAACATCAACCAAACGACAACACTCCCACTACTCAATCTTCCCAACGAAGCTTACATTTTCCAATTTCCACAAAATTAGGGTTTCCAATTTTCCATCCCCAATTTCATCGAAAGAGGAGAGAGAAAATCAAAGCTCTAAAAATGGAGAAATTCAGAAGAAGAGCAACTATTACTAACAGAGGAATGGAAGAGAATGCCATGGCTATTCTTGAATCTTTTTGCGCGCATGATTCTTCTCATGTTCATGATGATCGTAAGTTTCCTTTTTCTTAAATTTTTTTGATTTTTTTTTTGGATTTTGTTTGAATTTCGAAAATTGGTGATTTGAAACCCTAGGTTTGGCGTTTCTGGAGGCGGTTCGTTTTGCTTCGATTGTTCCTGAAAATGGAACTCCTCCTACCAAGTAATTTTCTGATTAAATTTGGTGTTAATTTATGTATATTTGATGATTTTTGTATTTTGTTGTCCAAATTTTAATTATTGGTAAATATTCTAGTAAAATGATGGAGGCGATTTTTGAGATTATGAGGGAAGCGAAGTCTTTGGAACTTGTAGTTGCTAGTTATCAGCTTCTTTGTGAATTAGAGAAGGTATAACTTGCTAAATTTGATTGATTTAACTATTTAAGTGAGTGTATAGTTATACAATCATGGGAATTCTTATGTTTGATTATGTAATGTGTAGCACTTTCCTCGGGTTTATTTATCGAATGAGGATGTTAAGGAAGCGCCTTCTAGCAAATCTGCTAAGCTAATTGTATTTGAAGAGGTATTATGGGGTTGTTGATTTCCAATTTTGAGTAAATTTGGTACTCGGTGCTTTGGTTTTGAAATGTGGTTTGTACTTTTATATTGTGTTTATAGGCTTGGTTGCCGTTTGCTGTTGGCTCTGACATGGCTTCGAGTGACAGGAGTGTAGTGAGTAAAGGGTTTAAAGAACCTATTAGTCCTTCTGTGAGTTACATTATCCTATTTTTTGTGTGTTTATTTATGGTAATTGCAAATGGCTGTAATTTTCTTATCCTTTGCCTCGATAACTTTTCTGTTGTTTTAAACTAATGGTCATGGTCTCATAGTCATGGATATTAGTTTTTGGAATGTTTGGAATAGTTGTCACCTCCATTAAAGCGCAATGCTTTAAAATCGGACTTGCCAAAATGTCCTCATGTAAATTGAGCAAAGGGGAGAGTGCGTGAATGGTTTATCTATTATTAGCTTAATGGTCATGGTCATAGTTTTGAAACCATGATATTATAATCCACATGGTGTTGGTCTGATGTGGCAACTGTTTTCGTGTAGGGAGTATTTTCTTAGATGTCGCATACTTTTTTAAGGAATACAATATGTGTCATAGTTTCTACATTGTTCCATGCCTTGAATGCCTATAAGGTAATTTGATTTGTAAGTTGTAACTGTTGTTTATTGACGATTTGAGGGGAATGGAGGGAAGGGAGGAAGAAGATTAAGCTTTCATAATTGCTTTATCATGTAATTTTGGGTTTTGTTAACATATGAGAAATTATCTATTTTCTTTATATATTGTTTGCTTTTCACAACGTAGCTTAGGTTTTTCACATCCTCACCAACAACCAAGTTGTTCTCCTCACTTCTCAGTCATAAGCCCCTCAAAATAATTTAGCATAAGGATTATAATCTCATTTTTGATTGGTATTTCAGGGATTTAAGCTTCTGTTAGAAAGTCTCAATGAAGAGGCTGAAGGAATAGAATCATCAGAAACAAAGGTATACTGTTGCTATCTCACTCCAAGGATAGAAAGTTATGTAAATTTAGCTATTATAATTATTTTGGATTTCAAGACCCAAGTGATATCATTTGCAGCTATTGAATTAATTTATCTTTATTAATATCATTGTATTATGAATAAATATTATGAATAAATTTTATGTTACAGTTAGAGCTCCTGGCGAAGATGTATATGTTGCAATACCTAATCTATATTTTTGAGGCAGACTTTTTACCTCGTAACCGTGACTTTCTAGGTAATTCAGAAACTGTCTATGTTACTTGCTTTTCAAAGTGTGTAGGTTTTTTTTTTTTCTTTTCTTGGTGTATTGACTAGCTTTAATTTTTTTTGTCTCAGAGAACTCAAATTGGATTTCTCTTAAAGACTCCTTGCTTAACAAGTTTCTGGTATGTTTTTTTGATTTAAAGACTATGATTTTTTTTTTTTTTTTGTTTTTGTTAGCTAAGAATCCGTTTTCCGTCCACTGAATTACTCTGTAGTTTAAACAACCATTTTTGCACAAGGGACATTCATAGTGGATTTTGTGACAGGGGTCAAGGCGAATTAATTACAAAGACGTGGCAAAGGATACCTTCTTTGTTCTATGTAATTTGTTCCTTGCTCGGACTCCAACAAACAGTAATTCTGGAACTACCAAAAGCTCTTCAGATGATATGCATAACAATAATGATTCAGCTTTAGCTCTTTCTTTACCGGAGGTAGAGAAGTGTACTCTTAAAGCTGTAGAGAAACTTCTTAAACTGGTATGCTTATACACCGTAACATCATTATATGAGAGAGAGGTTACACGACAACTTTATTTCAACCCTTATAAACTGTGATGGTTGTTGCTTCCAGATGATAAATCTTGATTTGTCAAAGAAGAAAGCAGATGCGCAAAGCCTCACTACAAGAGCAGATGGTGTAAGGTATCCCCTATCCTATTATGAAATGTTGGCGTATTGCTCATTATTTGTTCCCAGTATCAAGTCATATTGCTGTAGTAAGGCACATCCCAATTCATCAACAATACTATATATTTGTCTCTTAAATTCATATGAGATTTATAGGAAAAGAAAGGAAGTGATTGAAAAAAAGAAGATTCTAAACTGTTCATGTTCCTTCCTTATAATTTATTTTTACTATCTTTTCCCTTCTTTTTGTTCCCTTCTTTCTGTTTCCATTATTAAAACAATACCGAATAACCTATGAATGTAGTTTGTGCACGACTGGTTTCTTCTAACATGCCTTTGCTCTGCATTCTCTGGTGTCTGTCTGGTATTATTTTTTATAAAGTTAAAACCTTAGTTATGTTCTGGCATGATTGCAGAACTCCTATGGTTGAATTGATAATGGATGAACTCTTTTATGACAAAGACCTGCTTTCTCCATTTCTTCAGGTATAGTTTCTAGAAGTACAAATTCTTACTCCCAATTGACTCAGTGGTGCTGCTCCTGCTGATTGCTCATATTTTGATTTTAGGTTTTTGCTCTTAGAATTATTTTGAAATGGTGTTTTAATGTTTTATGACATTTTTTTTTTTGTTTTTTTCGTTTCATGTTTAGAAGTGCAGTTGATTTATTCATGCCATTTTGTTTAGGAAATCATCATGAATATAATGGAGATGACCTTTTCATGTTTGTAATGTCTGACATCGTTGTATGTTCTGCAAACTTCCGCAGGCCTTTGATGATCCTATATTGAAGCTGGAAATAGTTTCACAATACATTCATAAGTACAATGTCAAAGTAAGCTCTATATCTGACTAGTGCATCAAACTGCAAAAACAATCTCAGTTTTCTATTAGTTTGACTACAGTATACTTGATTATATATGTTTATCTAAGTACTCATTTCTGAATTAAAATGTTGGTAGCATTTAAAATGCATAGTAATGTATCTTCGTAAAGACTTCCAGTTAACAGTTATTTTTTTTTTATTTTTTATTTTTAACCTTGTATGCCTGGGACTCTTTGTAAGTTTGATCACGCCCCTGATTGGTATAAGTAGTCCCTGTCATGGAGTATTTCTTCTTGCTTCCACACGTCATTGTCTCTTCATACTTGACTTAATGTCTTTTCTGAATTACCTGAGCCATTTTTTCCTTGTTTCCTGTGTTATAATTAGCAGCATTAACATTATCAAGGATCTTCCATGTGGTGGTGTAAGCATTCCATTCAATGTTGGACCAAAATGCTCCTTAACGCTCAATGAATCTAATCCTTTTTCACCTTCTTCCATGTGGTGGTGAAGACATTGTATCCAACTTTGAACCAATATTTTCTTTATTGCTCAATGAATTTAATTCTTTTCACCTTTCATTTGGTTACGCATGGCTGTAATTGGCATTAACAAATGTTGTTAGTTGTAAAGATTCTAAAATCATTTAGTGTTTTATCCTCTTTACTTTGTTACATATTGGTTTTTATTGTGGTTTGCAGCCATCTACTCGCAAGAGGAAGTTAGATGACTCACAAGATGATACGGCAGTTATTGGATTCTTTAACTGCTTCTTGAATAGCACCAGTACAAAAGCCATTGTTAAGAAAGTTGGTGCTGAGGCAGTTCAAGTGATGTTAGCTCATGCTCTGCAGGTGATTATAGTCATTATACTGTCTTCCACCAATCCATTATGGAGGCATATTATCTTTGTTGAACTGTTTGCAAATCTGTTTTGTTTTTAGTTATTGAAGAAGGTCCTTTTAGATTAATATTTGGCCAAAGATTAACTGAGGAATAGGATTATATGGGATGAGGTGGTAGTTTCCCCAACAAGGACGAGAAATCTGTCAAATAAATTTTGCATATAATTTTGTTTGCTTGAAAGCATAATATAACATGACATTACTTTCTTTGAACATGTTTTTCTGTAGGCTTGCATGTCAATACCCAAGGAGCAACTTCATGAATTAGCATCTGATTCAAAAAATGATGCTAGACGTAGTCCACTGGTAAGCATTTGCAACGATATCATTTCAGCCTTCACCAAGCTCAGGGAAACAGATGAGTAAGTTTCTGAAGTCTACATTCTCCACGTACATGTTTCTCTATTTTAATATACCATTGGGTTTGCTTAATTATAAACTACATGTGATCTTAAGATTGAAGCATGGAATGATATTGTTGCACTTTTTTTGACATGAATACTCACTACTGTCTTGTTGAGTCTTTTAATGCCAATAGACAAATGATATGGCACTAGATATAAAGTAGTGTATTTGATCAATCAATGATTTTAAAGTATTAAAACTAACTATAATATGATAGTATACTTAGCATAGAGTAAGTTAATTGATTGACTATGTGTTCATTAATCAATATAGATGATATAATAAAACAAACAAAGATAGAATGGTGGTCAATATTTCGCCTTTACAATTTTAGCTCTATCATAGCCTAGACCTTATAGTCTGGTCAAGAGTTCCGGATGTCTTTTTCAACTTCCAAGTATTTCTGGTTTTTTCATTTGAGAAATTGATTTTGGAAGTATGCACCCATTGAAGAGCTAGTTGTAGATGGTTGCTCAGCAAGCTGTCATGATGTTACTAACCTTGAACTAACATGGAAATACTTTACAATTTATGTGCAGGCACTTGCAAATATTACCTATTGGTAAGGAAGCGCTATTTACAGCTGCTAGTGTACTTTCTACCAAGTCATAGGAGCTCTCAAATCCTTCCAGAGTTCACCTTCTTTTACAAATCTTGAAGGTATCTGCAGGCCAGTTGCTCTTTAAAATTTAACTTGCTCACGCTTGTGTTGCCTGTTCATAACTTGCTTGTTTGCCCATTTCTTTTGTTCCGAGTAGAACATGCTTTTTCCTGGCCATGCAAGGAATGCGTGTTTGCCCATTTCTTTTGTCGATTTTGTCAACCAGATTTTGGAAGTTACAGCATTTAGCTATCCTGTAGGGAGTTAGCTAGCTTAGGAAGGTGCTTGTAAAGAATTTTCATTTCTGGACTGCAGCTAGGTAGCACTTAATATGCTGCGACATTATAGTACTAGATGATGCTACTGTATATAATGAATTTGACTAATCATTGGTTTCCTTTGCTCTTTAGTAAGATATCTAATTGTCAGCTATTTTTTTCCTTCTGGCTTCTACCAATTAGCATATTGTATAGAATTGCTTCGGCTCTGGTGTTTTATAACAGCAAAAGTAAGTTCAGTGAATTAAGAGTACGAAAAAAGTTCAGAAACTTTAAATGTTAGAAAGTTTAGGCTAATCATTTTTTTCCTATACATGAGATTTTGAGCAGAAAGAAAGACTGCACGAAGTGTATAACTTGTTACTGCAATCTCTATACAATCTCTATGGTGCACACCAAAACTCTAGTAGCATCTTAGCTCGTATCAGAAAAAATATAATTTGCATAATTTTGTTCTCTTAACAATTTATATAAATCAGGGAAGAGTTGTCAATAACCATTGCAGGTTTCAGAAAAAAAAAATAAAATTGTGGCCATACAAAATATCTGGCAATCAAAGCTAGTAAAAAAGTCATAGAACTTGAACTTGTGTATCCTTTTCTATTGCAATTTGCAATAAGGTCTTCTTTCGTTCAACCTATGGCTTGTGCCTGAATGCACAATGAGTAGACAAGCAATAATCGGAAATATTTAGTATAAGTAACAATCTCTACTCCCTCTAAATTTTCCTAAGTTGCAACAATATCATTCTCTGGTACCGAGTAACACAAACTACCCTGAAAACTGTTTAAGTGCAAGCCTTGCAATTTCCGCATTAGCTTCAAGAACACAAGTCTTCGGTCTTCCACCAAAATATATTCCAACAACTTTCTGGTAACACAAGTTCAGCTTCTGATCCAATAACCATGGTCAACGGACTTATGGTTCTTCCGCGTCATTGTTACTCCTAACATGACATTGCTAGCTTGTCAGCATAACAAAATAATGTAATAGTAGCCCTAGATTCTGATAAAGTATAGTATAAATAAACTTGGAGTAACTAGAAAGCCTTACTTAGATGTGCCTAACTTAGATGTCTGTGGTGATTCCAGTTGTAATGTTACTGGTCCATCATTAACCAGATTGACCTAAACATCAAAGCAGTAAAAAGCATAAATTTTCGAAGAAGTATGCAACAAAAACACAGATATTGAACAAACTAAATACTTAATACAAAGTAAGAAGTATTACCTTCATCATTGCTCCAAAGATGCCATCTGCAGTTATGTAAATGAAACAGAGCAAGTGAGATATTACATATTACCATACTATCAACCATTGAACGAGCGTCAAACCCTAGCAAACAAATCCAATCTTATGATCAAGATCAGTCTAATGCTTTTCTTTTACATGATCAAAATTCATTCTAGGTCTATAGCCATTAGCCATCCAGATTAGGTTCAGATTTACCATACCAAGCGTATCTCAAAATATTCAAGGGATTAAAGCTCATTAAATGAGACCTTAAGAAAATTTGGTATGTATATTTCAAAGCTATATGTAAAGGGCAACTTGTGGAGAATTGATATAATTTTAGTCTTGCAAAGGAAGAGATAAATTAGAGATACTATCAAAATTTAAATTTTTTTAACGAGCCTAGAAAATTTTCCCCCTATACTTAAACGCATGTCATTACTGAACAAACCCAAAAAATTTACCTCGGCACCAATGACTCGTTTGGTAACCGGTCATAAACAATGGTATGTGAAAGAATCTGTATGTAAATTTGGAAATAAAATCAATGTTCATTCCCATGACCTTAAAGACCATCCCAAATTGTCTCTTTTCTGCATAAATTTCTACTCCCATCTAGTACCATCTTGCAAGTGGTAATGGATGGTAATGGAAAAACATGAAGAAAACACATTGCTTGAGGGGTTGAGATTGTGTTCCTATCGAGATTATGGGTTGTTTTACATACTAATTTACACTATAATTCATTCCCATTACCACAATTATTAAGGCCAGCACAATTATTATGGAGATTATGTGATGCTGAGTACATAAGGCCAGCAGGCCACTGCTCATCTTTACAAAGAAAAAAATCTACATGTAAAATGATAACAATGATCTTATCATATTTGGTTCAAGATCATAGTTATTATAGGGTACATGTAATTTCACCTTTTCCACTGCAAGTTCAAGTACAGCTTTTCTTGGCGGTGATCCATCAGTCCTTGTTAACACAGGCAAACTAGTTACTTTATGTTATAGATATTAGATTATAGTTACGGAGGCTGTTAACGTATGAGCCGCTATTATCTAAGAACACTTTTTTCTAGAAAGCAAACATATAGCCCAAGGTGACAAATTGGTACATACAATGTGTCATAGACTCAGAGATAAAGAGCAACCATACTTCAAATGTATACTTCATATATAAGAACACAAATTATGTTGAGTTAAACCACTATTTCTTTCCTAATTTCCTGAGCTCCAGTGCTCCACTAGAAGCAATTCAAACTTTGCATGAAACTTTCTTTGGGGACTAATTCTTATCTAATTTTCGAGTAAATACAAGTTTCTCAGTGAGAAACAAAAATGGCAAGCCCCTAATTTCCTGAGCTCCAGTGCTCCACTAGAAGCAATTCAAATTTTGCATGTAACTTTCTTTTTGGACTAATTCTTTCCTGATTTCCCGAGCTCCAGTGCTCCACTAGAAGTCTAGAAGCAATTCAAACTTTGCATGAAACTTTCTTTGTGGAAATCACTTAAGCAATGAGGCAGAAAGAATCTTAAACAGTCAAACAGAATTCCTCGTCTGAAACTAAAAAAAAAAGCGGTAACTTGATATCCCTTCAAGTAAAAAATTAAGATACTTCTTTTCTAGCAAATGTGCCACATGAAAATCAGGCTTGTTATGTGAGCCGCTATTATCTAAGAACACTTATATTTAAGAAAAGAATTTGGGTCACTTAGAGTAGAATACCTTCAGTTAACATATCATAACAGTTATCGAATAGTTGACAGCAATGATAAATAACATATCATAACAGTTATCGAATAGTTGACAACAATGATAAATAACAGCATAATTCAAATTTCAATATGGCCAACACTCAAACAGGTGAAATTTAGTAGAGATTATTTGTGTTCTTTACCAAGTTGTACTTTTGGAGTGCAGATAAGGTAATCACATTAAGAGCAAGTGTTTCACATTTCTCAGAGGATAAAAAGAAGCTACCTTTGATCGAGTCAGGGTTGTAACTCTTGCGAAAATTCTCCACCACAGTTTCGTAGAATGGTTTTGCTCTTTGTGGAGGCATAGCCACATGAAAATCCGGCTTGTTACCCTTCAATGTTCCATAGAGTGTAAATTGACTCACTGAAAAATTCACAAAAACAACTTCAGTTTTCCAACAAAAAACAAAATCTCAAAATTCAAAACAAAAAACTTTTATCTTACCTAATAAAACCTCATAATTTTTCTGCATAACCTGAAATATCACATCAAAACAATCAACAAATTATATATACTTTCCAAAAAAACATCAAAAGTAAAATGATTTTTCAAAAACTAAAAACAAAACAAAACTTGATACATACATATATATGTAGAGGATAGTGGGTCTTACACTTTGATCCCAAGCTTTACCTGTATTTTCATTTGGGAATAATCTCATATTTAACACCTTCCTGCATCTGTTAAAACTTCATTTCTTAGATTCATCTCCCAAAAACATTATCATAAACTCATACAAATACCCAACAACTCATTAATTCATTCACTATAAAATCATGACAAATCCACATTGACTTATTAATTCTCCATCAAATACAATCAAATTGAGTTAGTGTCCATTATACACCCGAGTTTTGTACACCCAAGTCTATCTCGATTTAAATTAAAATAGCCTTGGGTGTACATAACAAAACTTTAGGTAAACCCGGGTGTATAATGGAATAAAACAAATTTAAATTTCTGCAAAAATTAAAATATGTAATAGAAACATTTACATGTAATTGGAGTCGGAATCGGAATCAGAGTCGTGAACGCCGATGAGGACAAGAAGGCCAGGGCCAATCTGGGACACAATGCTGCCATCAACCTGCACAAAACCCACAAAAATATGAAGATTAAAAGCGTCAAAAAAAAATGAAAAATCAGCAGAAAAACAGAATGAGGAGAGAGAGTGAGTGGACAAACCTCAACGCTAGCAGAGGTGACGCGTTGAACAACAGCTCTCATTGCTCTGGTAATAAAGAAGGAATTTCTGGTTTTTCGTTGAATTTGGAGTTGTTTGTTATTGTAGGAGTAATTTTTTACAAGAAGAAGAGGATTTAAGAGGGATGAAGAGAGGTAATGGGGAGAGTGAGATGATAATAATGTCATTGCCATGGGATTTTTGGTTGGTGGATTGTTAAAGGAATAAAGGTTAAAGATCAAGCTTTTTATTTATTTATTTATTTTTTGCTTTCAAAGTAATGGGTTTTATGTAGAGCTGGACAAGGGCCGGGTTGGAACCGAAAAGATCCGACCCAAAATGAGCTTGTCACAAGCTCGCCCTACAGCAAGGGAAAGTTGATGGGCCGATTGTGCATGAACGTTGCGTGTCAACCCGCATATTCTTAAACGACCTGCCAATTTTATAAGAACTATTTGAAAGGGTTCTAAATGACACGAGCCTAATAATATTAGTTTTTTAGCTTGTTTTAAGCATGATTTGCTTGAGCATGCATGAGGCTCGTTGGTATAACACATAGGCCTACACGCTTGTTTGCATAACACATAGGCCTACACGCTCATTGGCACAACACATAAGCATACATGGCTCAATCCATGCCCAACCCTTGGGTGAAAGCAAACACAGATGCTCACGCCTCTTCTTGCTGAATGTACTGAAGTGTTGGGCGTCCGATATGCTCTCCAACTAGTGCAAATATTGGGCTATAATCGTGTGTGGGCCGGGTGGAATCAGATGCCACAAATGTTGTTCAAGCTATGAGTATGGTGGATGATAGCAGAGCCCCTATTAACATTATCTTTGATGATATTAGGAAAGATAGTCTAGTCTTTGATGCCTGTAATTTTTCCCATGTTAAGCGTAATTGTAATACGATCGCTCATCTTGCTGCGAGATGGGATACCGGATATAATATGGAGAACGTTATTTTGGGTTCCTTCCCCCAAAGCCTTACAACTTTCGCAGAATTAAATTAGATATAATTTAATAATACGGGTTACTAACTTTCCTCAAAAAAAAAAAAAAAAAAAAAAAAAAAAAAAAAAAAAGCCTAACCCTAGCCACCTAGATAGATGGCCATAGGTTAAAAAGTAATCCCCCACGTGCCCCAGGCAAGAAAAATCAACCAATTGTCCTCACCAACCTTACCTTCAACAAAATAAGAGTAAGCTTCTACCTCATGCTCCTTTTACTTGTGATTTAGATATGAAACTAGTTTTGCAATTGCCACTCACACTAACAATTAACAAAACAAGAGCGGCAAGCAACCAGCCATGATCGAAAAAAAAAAACATGACAAAAGCAAAGACAAGTTTATTATTGTGGGAAACTCGAGAGTTAGGAGAAAAACCAACCTTTGCACTATGGAGTACTCCCTCCGTCCCTTAATTAGATTCCTACTTCTCTCTATTATGTGAGGAATAAATGTTAGAAATAGGAATCTAATAAAGGGACGGAGGGAATAGTATTGATAACGAATGAGTCAAATATACAAGCATGAATTGTATGAAAGTCAACTGCTTCTCATAAAATCTCTCAAGTTAGATGTTCAAAGTTTAAGGCAAAATGTACAATGTAGGGATGGAATTTATAAAAATCCAACGATGAAGAAGCATTCACATCGAAAAGGAAGAAATTGAAGGCCGCTAAATAAAACAAAGCATCAATTTCGAGCGAGTTCATGCAAACCAAGATGAAATTCAGGCGAATGCTCTCTTGTTTTTAGCTTTGAGTTTGATCAAACTTATTTAGCTTCAATTATTTCCTTCAGATGCATAAGCAACTCCTTAATTATGACTCCACTTTAAAGGATCTTTTCTCTACACTAATACTAATAACGAACATTACTTTCTTCTATGTATAACCTTGATCAAAGATATAGAAATGTGTTTATTTTGAAACAAATAGAGATATATAGAATTGTATCGTCATTCTCTTAAATATGTCAATCTAATTTTATTAATTTACCAACACGTTGAATAATGGAGGACATGTAGCCATGAGTGTACTAAAATGAAAGGAAAATTAAAATTCATCGATCTACATGAGTGAAAGTTGCACAACTCTATAAGGCCGTTTTTGTAAAAGTGTTAGTAACTTGATCAAGAAATGAAACATGGAATGCCTAACAACCCAAGGTAATATAATTAATGCAACATCTTCACACATATATTTAACTTTGGTTACACTTCATTCAATGTAGCATTTTTTAAAAAAGAAAGATGCCCAACGTTAGAATAGTTTATCTCAAAATTGATTCATCGTAGCAATTACAACACTTTAGAGTTGAAGGCACAACTATTTCTTCTCCACCCCCACATTTTGCCATGATGATTAGAAGCTTAGGAGACATAATTTTTTCTACAACCCCACACTTTACCATGAATACAAGAATATTTTTTTTTTAAAAAAAATTACATTATCAATTTGAGCATTGAGAGTTCGGTTTATACCTTTATGGCGAAATTGAAGTGTACGTTTAGCAATTGACAATGATAATTTTTCACACTTTTGTACTGTCACTCATATAACAAGCTTTTTGGAACTAATTATATAGTATAAATAAATAAATAAATAGTACGAGTACAAAATAACATATAAATAATGTTATTTTAATAATTTTTTTATGTAATTTTTTTTTTTTTTTTTGCAAAATACAATTATCAATCTAAATTTCACAACTGATTACGCTTCCAATCATATAAGTATGCACGCCTAATTGGCTTTCATAAAATCATACTCATAATTACATTGGTTTATAGGTGAGGAAATATTTCGAAGCAATTAAGAGTATAAGGGCTAATAATAGTTGTAATAAAAGTAATAATTGCCACTAATACAAATTTAGAAATAATAGCATTGATCTGATCCAGTGCTTTAAACCACAAGTAGCTGGATGCTAGGTTGTGGCCTTATGGGCAATAATAATGACACCTACTAAGATTAAAAGCCCATAAAACATAGACCTACCTCTTGAACTATGCATTTCTACATTTCATACTATATCAAAAAAAAAAAAAAAAAAAAAAAAAAAAAAAACATATTGGATGTCAAGATTGCCAACTGTGGATTGATGTTACATAGTATATGGCCGGGATCAAATCTCGTATACACCATTTGTCATCCCATTATTTGTTTGCCCCCAAAATAGAATATATTTAATATCGTGTTTAGTTAAGTAGTACTTTGTATAATCGTATATGTTTTATGTTTTATGTTTGATATTTTATTCCACATCAGCACAAGAACCATGCTTATGATAATTAAATTGATCTTATTCAAGCATATTTGGAGCACTTTTTTTAATTGTATGAAAATAATATATATATTTTTTTCTATATTAAGTAGAACATCGGTCGTTTGAAAAATGACTATATTATTTTGATGATACACAATATGATTGGTTCATTTTTTCATGTTATGAAATGACCACAACCTATTAAATATTACTAAAAACAGAAAATGCTGACGTCACCACTACCCACATGTCGCTCTCTTAATAAAAAATTTCCTGTCTAAATGCAATGATAATGTCATCTTTAAATTTTTTATTTTTTTGTGGTGCTATATATTTAACATTTTTGAAAATGAAATATTAGAAGTTTCTACCTATTACAACTAAAACCTGTCAATTTATCGTAGGAAATTGAAACAATTAATTTTAAATAGTACATTAATAAATGACTTCCTACATTGAACTATGAATAAATTTTTCAATAAATTATGCTTAATGATTTACAAATTACTTTCCATAGACTATAGTGATCTTTATTGACATACTTCATAATTTTTGTACACCTCTTTTATTAATTACTCTACATATATCCAGTGGCGTATCCAGGATTCACATAAAGGGTGTGCACAATTATATACTTATAGAAAATCATGTTGTAGTCAGCAAAATAATGGTTGGAAAAAATGTGTTGCAATGGGATTTGAACTTTGACTAGAGTTAAAATTCAAAAAAGACTAAAAAACACTTGGATAACCGGTTGACTACACTTACTTATTGCTAAAAAGTTGCACCAAATTTTATTTTAATGTAGTTGCAGGGTATGCAAAGGCATACCCTTGATACATGCTATATCCGCCCCTACACATATCTATTTCATATTATAACTCGATCAGAAACTAACTCCAAAATATTTCAATTAGTTTTCATTTGTCTTAAATTTTTTTAATCAAAACAACATAACAACCTGAGAAGTAAGGCATTAATTTTTTTGAGCTAAACTGTGTTGAACTGAATTGAACTTCATGAATTATTATTGTTATTAAGATGAAGTCCAAAATTATTGGAACAAGTATGATCCAAAACTCAAATTATTATATTTACTCAGAAAAAAAGGCCAAAAAATGTAACCACCCTAACTCCATCCCAGCTAATTTTTCTTTTTTTTTTTTTTTTTTTTTTGGGGGGGGGGGGGGGGAAGCTAATGCACAACTACATTCTCTAGTGACCTATCTAAATCATTAAAAAAAAACTAAATATTATCCACTATAAACAATTGGCAGTTTATCATTGATGCGTTTTAATGTAAAGACGTGTGCATAATTAATCTTGGAAATATAACTAAGATATAAAAATCAGTGCGTGTTGTGTGTGGGTGGTCATATTGTGTGACCACTTATAAAAGAATTCTCAAAACAACTCCTATAACACTGACTAGGTAACCCCTATAATAGTGACCAAGTAACACTGAATAGGTAACCCTAAACGAGTAACCTTATAACACTGGCGAAGTAATCCTGACGTTGTGACCAGTCATATATATAAAACTTTGTGTATAAAAATGTATTTTTATCGACACCGATAATATATTCATCTGGCATTTCACATGAGAACATTACTCATCAAGTACTAACCAAATCTCCAAATATATCCAATAATATTGCCGGCTAATAATTATTGCATTCAATCTGTATAAAGAACTAACTGTACCAGTGTACAGTATAAATTCAGTAGATAAACCTAACTTTTAATCATAAATGTTTCACCAATACCATCTAAATTACGCTCTGTCAAATAAATTCACTTAACTATGACTGCTTGTCCTTTTTTGTATAAAAAATTTATTTATTTTTGTTATTGAAACAATATTTTAATTAGCTTTTATTGCTACTAGTACTTATTATATATGTGTGTATTACTTTGCTACGTACATTTCTCACTTAGTTATTCACACAAAGAGATCTTAACATGGGTTTAAGAACTTTTTGTTTAGGATCAATTTTATTTTTCATGTTGTTTATGCCTACACTTTTGAATGCTCTTACGGTGTCGGAGATTCGAGAGTTGAGAGCTAAACACCGGTTGTCGAGTTTGTTGGTGTTTGGAGATTCAAGTGTTGATCCCGGCAACAACAATCGCATCACAACCTCGTCGAAGAGCAACTTTTTACCTTATGGGAAGGACTTCATGGGCGGTCACCCTACCGGAAGGTTTAGTAATGGGAAACTTGCAAGTGACTTTGTAGGTAAATATTATATTATTATTCCCTTCATTGCATTTTGCATGTTTGTTAAGACTCTTACGAGTAAGGAGTACATACATATATGCTTCTTTTGGACTCAAATTAATCAACTCTATCATATTACGGAGTATATATATAAAATATTATTATATAAGATCTTGTTAATAAATTTGTTTTAATGATTTTTATAATTAATGAGCATTTCATAAATAAATTTTTAATATGGTAATACATAACGAAAATTGTTATTATTTTCATACGTGTACCTCAGTGATTGTATGTGCAGTGTGCACGTAAAAGAAAACGTAGAGCACGGTAGCTGAAATTGGATATGATACTTTTTTTATCATGCATTTTTTTAAAAAGAAACTTCTATCATGCAAATTAAATAATAAAATGCATAGTAGTACTTTTATTAAATATTTATACATACATAAAGTGTTTATTTATAAATCTTTTGAAATACTCCGTATTAATTTACTGTATTTTTTTGTACTCCTACTATGGTTAACAAGCATACACTGTACAAGAGAAATCTGGTACAGTGCAAAGTTGAAAGTAAATGGCAGCTTTCTACAAAGAGAAAGAGCATGTAATTACTGGTATTTCATTTAGTTCGTATATATACAAGAAAAATGTCATAAGTGGAATTTCTTTATTTCATGGTTAAAACACTTATAAGAATAAAAGGTATCAATATTATAGTAACATCCTTAATAACCCGTTTGGTCGGGTAACTTACCTTGTAACTAAGTTTTATTAGTTTCTGATTAAAAAAAAAAAAAAGAAGTAGGAATGGCCTGTTCCATCTATTGTCTACTTGTGTTATATTAGCAAGAGAAGCCACACTATATGTTTGAGATGATAGGACGCGGGTTGCATTTTAGTATTTAACATAAAATGGTCCGTCCATTTTGTCGTGCATTCACAATGGTCCCTTAGTTTTTTCTTACTAAAATATAAAAAAATAATAACAATTTGATTTTTAGAAGGTTATATAATAGATTTATACAAGCACAATTTTTGTGGTGAAGAGGGGTATAGTGTGTAAATAAAAATGGAGTACGAAGTAATCATATAGTATTGCTTTTATATCCATGATTCCGATCAATAATAAATCGTGATGATGGAGATTTAGCTAGCTTAATTATGAACGCGTCTATAATGATTAAACAATAATAATGACCTCCTATTAAATATTAATTGAAATATATATGATTCATATTTCTCAATTTAACACTTTATTATTCTTCTTTTATTTATTTATTTATTTATTTTTTACGTATCATTAGTAATTTATTGCTAATAACTCGAATGCTACTAGTTAATTTAGGTGTTTAACTTTAACAGCTGAAGCATTAGGTTATGCAAAAACAGTACCAGCGTTTTTAGACCCAAATATAACAAAGGAGGATTTGCTACATGCTGTTAGTTTTGCTTCTGCTGGCTCCGGTTATGATGACCTCACTGCCAATCTCACTGTAAGCTCTCTTACTAAGCCTTAAGTTGCACATAAATTAACAACAACAATAAAGATGAATTTTTTTTTTATCAAATGAAGTTATGAATTCTTTGTATCTTTTCACCGTGATACATATATGTGTGCATACGTGTACGTGTGATTGAGAGACGTACTAAAAATTGGATTAATATCTTTATGTAAATTGATAAATGCACATTGTTTTTAATTATTGATCATGATGCGGTTAACAGATCCATTCAAAAACGTATCCAAACAATTTTAATATTCAAGCAAATTAACTATTACTCCATACATCAAATTGGTCCATTAATTAGAATTTGTGTCTCCAATAACCTCAACTAGGTACAACAGTTAGGGCTGGGGTAGGGAAATCCCTCCCCACCCCCTTCAATTAGTTCCAAGCTAAGGGCCCTAATTCGCTAATATGTGAGACACGTGGGATTGTGGGAAGAGTTGAGGACAACAAGGTCAATTGAAACATTCATCTTTACTTTAAAAAAAAAGACATTTTATTCATTTTTGCCGTTATAAAATATATATGTGTATGACATTAAACTGTTTTTCTGTTTCATGGACAGAATACCATATCATTGACTAGACAAATAGAATACTTCAAGCATTACAAGATACACCTGGGACAATTTGTAGGATACAAAAAGGCCGACGTAATTATAAGTAAGGCTGCTATACTAATGAGCATGGGCACCAACGATTACCTACAAAATTACTTCTTGGAGCCTACTCGTCCAAAGCAATTCACCTTAGATAAGTACCAAGATTACTTGGTGTTGTGCGACAGCGGAAGCAAAGGTCGAAAACAAACAAGAAAACAATAAAGAAATTCAATGCAAACAATAAGAACAACACCAAGAATTTACGTGGTTCACTATCGATGTGATAGCTACGTCCACGGGCACCGAGATCGAATGATTTCACTATAAACTGCAAAGATTACAAAGATGATTCTTGTATTTCTCAAGAACGGCTCTCACCCTCTCTCTTAACCCTTATACTAATATTAGGGAGGTTTTATATTAATCCCTAAATTAAAAGATACTTGGGCAAAAAGATAACATAAAAGATAACTTTAAATCGTAAAATCCGCGTCTCCGCATTTTTCCTTCTCCGCCCGGTCAGACCGGGCAAGGTCTGCCCGATCGGGCGCGAGAAGAAAACTCCATACGAATGCTTCAACGTATCCAACCCCCACCGCCCGGTCAGACCGGGCAATGTCCGCCCGATCGGGCGGACAAAGCTACGAAGTACGAGTCACCTAATACTTATCAACAATCTCCACCTTGACGAGAACTCGTAGTCAGCAAACGACCCCATCAAGACATAGTGGAAAAACATCTCAAGCCAAACCCGATGCAAGACTCATGCATAAGCCATACATCCCGATAAGTCTTCAACCAAGACCCATCACATACTCGTCTCCAAGTATAACAACTCATAATGCTCCACCTGCATCACAAGCCCCGGGCAAGCTCCACCTTAAGGCCAACACACCTACACCAGGAGCTCCCCAACTTCGCCCCTCAGGGCCTACTACATCACGTAGTAATCAATATTTAGCAAGTCTAAGCAATGTTTAAACTTGCTAAACGGAACAGGCTTAGTGAAGAAATCAGCCGGGTTGTCAGCAGTCCCAATCTTCTTCACCTTAATCCTCTTGTCAGTACGCAAGAAATGATACCTGACATCAATGTGCTTCGTCCGATCATGGTGTACTTGATCTTTAGCTAAGCAAATCGCACTTAGACTATCACAATACACTGTAGCAAAATCCTGTGCAATACCCAGTTCACCTACTAGGCCTTTGAGCCAAATAGACTCCTTAGCTGCAGAAGTTAAAGCCATATACTCAGCTTCAGTAGTTGACAACGTAACTGATGACTGCAATGTAGACTTCCAACTAACCACAGAACCACCCAAAGTGAACACATAACCAGTCACAGACCTCCTGGTATCCACATCAGCTGCATAATCAGAATCACTGTACCCAGTGACCAAGCATTCCCTACCATTCCCGTACACAAGACCAATATCAGTTGTCCCTCTCAGGTAGCGAAAAATCCTTTTCACCCCTTGCCAGTGTTCCCTCCCAGGTCGAGCCATAAACCTGCTTACAACACTAACAGCATGCGCAATATCCGGCCTAGTACAGACCATAGCATACATCAAACAACCAACCGCGTTTGCATATGGAACTCTAGACATATAAGACAACTCCTCCTCTGATTGAGGTGACATAGACAAAGACAACTTACAACTAACAGTAGTTGGCGTACTTATAGGCTTCGATTTTTCCATCCCAAAACGAGACAAAATCTTTTCAATGTAGCTTTTCTGAGTCAAGAAAAGCTTACCTCTAGCCCGATCCCTGTAGATCTCCATACCCAAAATCTTCCTAGCTGCACCCAAGTCTTTCATGTCAAACTCCGAGTTAAGCATCTCCTTTAATCTAGCAATATCAGATTTATTCTTTGTGGCAACCAACATGTCATCAACATATAACAAAAGATAAATCATGGAACCATTATCCAGCTTACTATGATACACACAGCAATCATATGAATTCCTGTCAAAACCTTGTGAAACCATAAAAGAATCAAACCTTTTGTACCACTGTCGGGGGGATTGCTTAAGTCCATACAATGACTTTAGCAATCTGCAGGCATAGTGTTCCTTTCCAGGAACTTCGAATCCTTCGGGCTGCTTCATCAGAATCTCCTCCTCCAAATCGCCATGAAGGAAAGCCGTTTTAACATCCAACTGCTCCAGCTCAAGATCAAAATGTGCTACAATTGACAATAACACACGGATAGAAGTATGTCGAACCACAGGTGAGAATATCTCAACAAAATCAACCCCTTCTACCTGACTGAACCCCTTAGCAACTAGCCTAGCCTTAAAACGTATTTGCTCAGTTTCCGACAACCCTTCTTTCTTCTTGTAAATCCATTTACAACCCACAAGCTTCCTCCCTTCCGGTACCTTTACCAGTTCCCACACTCTGTTCTTGTAAAGAGACTGCATCTCTTCACCCATTGCGGCAAGCCATTGCGCAGACTCACTACAACTAATTGCTTGTTTATATGTGGCAGGTTCAAATGACTCTACATCATCAGCTACACTCAATGCATAACCTGTCATCGCATCAACACAGCAATTTCTTCCCTCCATCTCTTCAATCAATCTAACAGGCTTCTTGATAACTCGTTTAGGCATCTCAAGAATGGTGTCAGGTTGACTAGATGACCCCTGATTAGATTGCTCCACCTCATCCCCAGAGTTAGAATGAGTAGGAGTAATCTCAGGTTCAGGAGTACCCGGCACTGGAACATCAGCATCATCATCAATATATTGTACCCGAGGTAAATCAGCAATGGTAGACTGATGTACCTCAAGTACCCCATCTGTCTGTAATAAATTGTCTCCTTCCCTTCTCAAATCTGAAATCTCTGCATTTTTAATTGAATACATGGTGTTTTCATCGAAAGTAACATCCCTACTAAGAATGACCCGACCCTCCGAAGGTGAAAAAATTCTAAACCCCTTCACACCATCCCCGTACCCAACAAAACACCCCTTCTTGGCTCGTGGATCCAGCTTACCCTCAATAACATGATAATAAGCAACACAACCAAAAATCTTCAAATTCGAAAAATTAGGCAACTTACCACTCCAGATCTCAAACGGAATTTTGGAATCAATTCCAGAATGAGGACCCCTATTAATGACATAACAAGCTGTTAACACAGCTTCACTCCAGTACCTCCTCCCAAGCCCTGCATTAGAGAGCATGCATCGAACTCTCTCTAGCAGTGTCTGATTAACCCGTTCTGCTACACCGTTCTGCTGTGGTGTCTTCCTGACAGTATGATGCCGACCTATACCCTCATCTGCACAGAACTGATTAAACTCGTCTTTGCAAAACTCTAGCCCATTGTCCGTTCGTAGCTTCTTGATCTTCCTTCCTTGTCGATTTTCCACCAAAGCTTTCCATTGCTTGAAAACTTTGAAGGCCTCATCCTTTGACTTAAGCAACCTAAGCCATGTGTATCGGGACTTGTCATCAACAAATGACACAAAATAGTGGTAACCTCCCATACCTTCAACTCTAGATGGACCCCAGCAATCTGAATGGATGTAATCGAGCACTGCATCAGTAATGTGAGCACCCTTGCTGAACTTTGACCTGTGTTTCTTACCAAACACACAATGCTCACAAAATTCAAGGTTGGCAACCTTGACCCCGGATAGAAGACCCCTCTTGGACAATAGCTGCATCCCCTTCTCCCCCATATGACCAAGCCTCATGTGCCAAATCTTAGTCATCTCCTGGTGAGATACAGATGCGCAAACCGCAGAACTAGGCAGTGTAACACCCTCAAAAACATAGAGGGTGTTCCTTTTGATACCCTTAAGTACCAACTCAGAACCTCTGAAAATACACAACTCCCCATCTGAAAACACACCATTGTACCCCAAGTCATCCAGGGTACCCAATGAAATCAGATTTTTTCCTAAAGCAGGAACATGCCGTACATTAGTCAAAGTTAACCTCCGCCCATCAACAGTCCTCAACCTCATGGAACCAATACCTGTGACCTTACATGGAGCATTGTTACCGACTATAACCATACCCCCATTGCGAGGTTCATATGTATCAAACCAATCTCGACGTGGACACATATGGAACGAACACCCCGAATCTAGAACCCAGTTATCAGATAAATCATCAGACCTAGCAGAACTGACTAATGCTAAATCTTCCTCTGAATTATAGCTCTCATTCGGTTTCTCTTCAACTACAGCAGCCTGGGACTTGTTTTTCCTCACCGGACAATTATTCCTAAAGTGACCCGGTTCTTTACAGTAATAACATGTTTTAGTAGTAGTTTTACTAGATCCATCCTTGCCGTTTCCAGCACCCGACCCAGCATTGTTCCCCTTGTTAAACCCCTTATTCTTTTTAGACTTTCCGGACTTAACAAACAACCCACTACCATTATCCCCATTATCACTCGTAGCTTTCATTCTGAGTTCCCTAGTATGAAGTGCTGCCTTCACTTCTTCTAAGGTTATAGAATCCTTACCAACAACAAAAGACTCTACAAAATTCTCAAAGCTAGACGGTAGAGATACAAGTAAAATCAACGCAGCATCCTCATCATCAATTTTAACATCTAAATTACGTAAATCAAGCAAAATAGAGTTAAGTTTTTCTAGATGTTCCCGTAAGGAAGTACCTGACTGCATCCGGAGGCTAAACAACCGCTGTTTCAGTAATAATTTGTTGGTCAACGACTTAGTCATATACAATGACTCCAGCTTCAGCCACAATCCAGCCGCCGTTTCCTGATCAGCCACCTCCGTGATGATTTGATCATCAAGACTAAGTAATATGGTAGAGTGTGCCTTCTCTTCCATAACTTCTAACTGCGGGTCAGTCGGTCCATCTTCTGACTCCGAAGTAGTACTCTTTGGAGCCAACGGACGCCATATCTGCTGTTGTTTTAACAGAGCCTTCATCTTAATTTGCCATAGCCCGAAACTATTTTTCCCGGTAAACTTCTCAATTCTTATTGTTGAATCTCCTGCCATTGTTATCTTCAAGAAACTCTCCAAGGATTGAACCTGAGCTCTTGATACCAATTGTTGTGCGACAGCGGAAGCAAAGGTCGAAAACAAACAAGAAAACAATAAAGAAATTCAATGCAAACAATAAGAACAACACCAAGAATTTACGTGGTTCACTATCGATGTGATAGCTACGTCCACGGGCACCGAGATCGAATGATTTCACTATAAACTGCAAAGATTACAAAGATGATTCTTGTATTTCTCAAGAACGGCTCTCACCCTCTCTCTTAACCCTTATACTAATATTAGGGAGGTTTTATATTAATCCCTAAATTAAAAGATACTTGGGCAAAAAGATAACATAAAAGATAACTTTAAATCGTAAAATCCGCGTCTCCGCATTTTTCCTTCTCCGCCCGGTCAGACCGGGCAAGGTCTGCCCGATCGGGCGCGAGAAGAAAACTCCATACGAATGCTTCAACGTATCCAACCCCCACCGCCCGGTCAGACCGGGCAATGTCCGCCCGATCGGGCGGACAAAGCTACGAAGTACGAGTCACCTAATACTTATCAACACTTGGTCTCTCGCATGCGCCATGCCATTGTGGTAAGTACACTTATACATACTCATTCTGTTTCAAAATAATGGTCATCTTCGTTTTCATAACAATTAACATTGACATTCAATAATTGTCCATAGAATATAGCCTTAGGGTCTGTTCACATTTACTTAATTTCAGTTCAGTTCAGCTCTAATCAGTTCAGTTCAGCTCCTAATTTCCCTCTCTCATGAAATATTCATTTCAGCTCCAATCAGTTTACTTCAGTTCAGATCAGCTCAATTCAGTAAATGTGAATAGGCCCTAGCTTAGTTATTTAATCATATTTTCATATATCAAAATAAGATAATATCAAATACGTAGTATATAATTATATGATTCCAACCTTAAAAAAGGAAAGATGATATATAATGCGCATTGCCATTAACCTAATCAATTTTTTCATCTTGAATTGTAGGGGATGCACAAGGTTGGAGCAAAAAGAATAGCCGTAGTTGGTGTACCACCATTGGGTTGCATGCCCGCGGTGAAAACATTTGTAGGTGATGGAGTACATTGTGTTGATAAAATTAACAAAGCAGTCTTATCTCTTAACTTAAAAATAGAGAAAGAAATGAAGGCTATTCAGACTCAATTGAACATGAAAACGCTCTTTATTGATGCTTACAAAGTCGTAAGTTCCGCAATTAACAACCCAAAGAAATATGGTAAGTCCAACTTCTGTTTAGAAGCTTGTGTTGTACGATTTTCCTTTTTAATTTGATGATTTGTGCTATTTTCTCAAAAAATTATTTTCTTCGTCTCTAAATTGTATATACATGCTAATTAGGAGGAATACTATAGTTGAAGCTAGAAACATTAACCTTGGGTATTAATCATTGAAATTTGTGCATGTTGATTCACATGAAGGAAAAAAAACCAGCGCAGAATTGCATGTATATTCGTTTCAATATATGTGATGATTCAAACAATAACTAACTGTTTTATGAGTTTAATTTAATTACATTCAAACAATAACTGTTTCATGAGTTTTAATTTAATTATATGTACGTAGTACTTAAATTTTAAAAAAAATAAAATTTAATGCATGAAAAAGGTTATTAATGCTAAATCATACATATATATTATTTTGACAGGTTTTAGTGAGACAACAAAAGGATGTTGTGGAACAGGAACATTTGAAGTAGGTGATGCATGCAAAGGCTCAGAAACATGCAAAAATCCAGATAAATATGTATTTTGGGATGCTGTTCATCCTTCTCAAATGCTGTACAAAATCCTTGCTCAAGTGACCATGAAGTCTATCCCATCCACTTTCTTTTGCTGATGTAAATGCATGCAATTAACTAGTGAAATTTCAAAGACACCTATGTAAGGTTTTGAGCATGCATTGCTCTGTGTTTTAAATATAAGAAGGGTTTTCAATTCTAAGGGGGCAACTCTCTTCTACAGTATAGTTCTGTCTACTAAATATTCGTTTTTCCAAATATTATCTATCTTCATTCATGATGTTCATTGTGTATACTACTTTCTCCTTCGTCTCCTTTTGTTTGTCATATATTCTATAATTGTTACGAGTACTTCTTTAATTAATTAATTATTAATGGATGTATGGAGTTGATGGAAGATAAAAATTAATGAAATCAAGTGTAGTGAATGATCTTAAAGTATGAGTATATACTCGTATAATGGTGAATCTTTATTTTCATTCAACTATGGAATAAATTTAGAAAGACAAATCAATTAAATAGATAAATGAGACAAAATTTAAGGGATCAGATCGGATCACATTATAAGAACATGTCTACATAGCATTAGAAAGTGCATGCAGCTTGGTAAAAAATAGATTCATGTATGTTTTACTTTAATTTTGTAATTTTTATAGACTAACTGATTATTTTTTAAACATTTAATTTTCGCATGTTTAAAGAGTATAACTAATTTGATGAATTATATACAAAATATTTAAAATTATTGTCTGAAATAACCCTATTGATTAGTTCGAGAAGTAAGTAGATCCGATCCTTGACATACATGTAATGATTTACTTTACTAAAAACCCTAAAAAATTAAAGAATGAGCTTAGCACAAGAAAATCTCAATAAATGAATGTAATTGATAAACACAAATTTTCACAAAAAAGGGGTGACTAATTCAATCTTTAATAATATAGTCAATGACTGAACGAAGGGCCTTGAAGATGAGATAGTAAGTGATTTCAGTGGGATGAATTGAATCCCAAAATACATATTTGGATGCATCAGTACACACATACGACGCCGGATTACACATAAATGCTGCTTCTAGATAACCTGTACCGCAACATCCATTGCTCACATATTCAAAACCTACACACATTATATAACCCAAAATTTTAATTAGTGTATGAAAATTAATTATTGGAATAAATTATAGTATACACTAAATAGATATGAAAGGGTGGCAATTCAAGTCAGGGCATATTCACATTTACTTAATTTCAGTTCAGTTCAATTCAGCTCCAATCAGTTCAGTTCAGTTCAGTTCAGCTCTTAATTTCCCTCTCTCATAAAATATTCATTTCAGCTCAGTTCAGTTCAGTTCAACTCCAATCAGTTCAGTTCAGCTCAATTTAGTAAATGTGAACAGGTCCTCAATGGGTTGGAACAAAGTTTAGTTGTAAGGTCAATTTTAGGCAATTTTTTTCTATAGAAAATTTAAAAGTATATAGGGTGAGTTTAATATTAGAATAATTTTTAATAGACGAGCCACAATAGTTTGTGTTTAGGATTCTTTACATAATCTTAGGACGACATGAAAAATTCAATTTAGGGAGATTGCCAGTTCTAATCCTTATATTCGACAATTTTCTAATCTAGTTAAGCATAGAAACTTACTATAATTAGAATTTGAAGAAGGTTGAACCATGTCAAACAATGGGGAATAAACATCAATGTAAGCAATTCTAGTGCGTTGATCTTGTAAGCTAAGCTGCGTGGAATTAAGCTGAGTTTGAAGAAGTTGATTATAATCTTTAGCAACGGACGATTGAGATTCAACGCAGCCACGTCGTGTGATGGAGTTGTTTGATGCCATGGTGATCACAATTGGCAAGCAACCCATTGGTGGTATTCCAACCACTGCTATTTTCCTTGCTCCTTGGTCCCACAAACTCTATTTTTTGGAACATAAAAATCATTAAAATGTAAACTAATAAAATGTCATTTTAAATTACTTGTTTATTTTATTTTACTAGTATTTATTTTTAAGTACCTTCGAATTCTGATGGTTGTGGACAATTTTTATTATAAATTTGACTATTATACAAATATATTATAAAAAAGATTAAATTCACACACATATATATATATTGTGAAAATTCGAATTGAAATGAGTTTATAAAATATTAATTCTTTATTGATTTTACACATATGACGAATGAACAAATTTGTGATCAAAGATGTGTATTGAAGACTGTAAAAGTCAAAATATAACAAATAAAAAAGAAAACAAGAGAGTACTAAATTAATAATTATCGGCCTACAGTTTAAAAAATTATCTTATTTATTGATATGGAAATGTAGTAACTAAATATCGATAAATGTAAAGTTTATTTGAAAATAAAGTATCAATTTTTCGAAATCTATCAAGTGAACACGAATACTTAGTTACACATGTTCAATTACTTGGAAACTCTAAATTTAAGGTGTTTTACAAATTAGTACATACTTCGGATAATTCTAGCCTTATCTTGATTTACAAATGAATAAAATAATGCGAAAGTGATATATTACTCTTGTGTGTTTTAATTAAAGATTAACATACAATCTAATGATTGAAATGAGGTTTTATTTTTTGACTGAAGTTGGCTAATTCTTCATACCTAAGTCACCTAATAGTGATGACAAATGACATGATTTATAAGTCAAGATTTCACTACTGCTAAATGTCATGTCTCGTGTAGTTCAAGTTGTACCCTTTTCCTAGTTATGGAGGACTTTTTGAGGTGATTTCTAAATTCCGACCTATAATGATTTATTAGATGAGTAATAAATATTATAAATAATAAAGTTTAGTTTGTTTTATATCAAGTCCCATTCAAGTAATTAAAGCTTGTTGTCACCATAAACTCTTTCAAATTCTGGTATACATCAACTTTAACATAACATACGGACTAATAATTATGTTTTACAAGAATCATCTATTCTCACACGACATTCCTAATGCTCTGATAATGACATTAATACTTATTCAATCAAACATATCAAAAATAATGCTCCGTACTAAATAAATATCCCTATGATTTTTACACTTTTCAGAAACATACACCACCTTGATAAATACTCCGTATTTGGAACTTATACAGAATATAAAAGATTAACATAGTCATGTAAATACTTGTTAGCGTTGTTTCAATTTATAATATCTTAATATCAACTTTTTATCGTTTATGCTTATTGGCTATGTTACTTGGACTCGGATGAAGTGTCAAATTAGACACGGGTGTCCAAGCATCGGAATCGCCCATTTTCTTGAAACAAGTTGTGTTTTTAGTTAAAAATGAAGTGTCCAAGTGTCGGTACGATGTCTGTGTCTGACACGTGTCGTGTCGACACGGACACATGATGTAAATGAAAGTGTCCGAGTAACATAGCTTATCGGTAATTAACTGAATTTACGAGTATTATTTATTAAAGTTCTTTATAGGAAAACGTGCCAATTAAAACGGTGCTTTAATTTATTTGGAAAGGCAGTAGGGACTAACCTTGATAAATTGGTGAACGTTTTGGACCAAGAAATGCTGATACTGAGGGATAGTATACATCCTTTTCCGAATTGGTAGTGTGAAGTAGTTGACCACAAAATCATTAGTTCCAGCACTAACAATGAATACCGATTTGTTGATGAGTTCATTGGTCTTTTCCTGACCAATGCTTGCCGCAATTCTTGATTTATATTGCATGAAATATTCTAGTTGTTTTGACATTGGAATTACTCCCTGTATGTTACAAATCAAAGTCATTAACAGCACATAACGTATAGGAAGTAAAAACATACAAAAACAAGATAGATTTTCCTTTTGGTGTATAAAGTACCCGTTTTATAATGTTCTTAACATTTACTATTTGCACAAGAATTAGCGAAGACAAAGTAGAGAGATTGTATGTGCATGTTGCATGTATATATTTGGCATAAAGCACAACGAATTTCCATCAAAAACAATTATGGAAAGAACTATTATATTGTGAACAAAATATACACTTTCAAAAAAAAAAGTCATACAAAAGATATCATCAGTTGAGCAACTTTGACTGGCCTCAAAAAAAAAAAAAAAAAAAAAAAAAAAAAAAGTTGAGCAACTTTGACTTCATATAAGTTCATTGTAAAGGCACTATAAATTTATTTACAATTTATATTGATAAACTTGTATTTTCTCATAAGAACATGCTAAATAAATAACGTTCTTATTAAATTAATCGTATCGACGAAAGGGGGAGAGGAAGATTACACTTAGTGTTGGTGTTAGAGGATCATATCCAGATCCAGCAGAAGCAAAACTAACTCCACTCATCAACTCTTCTATACTAAGCGATGAGTTCAAATATGGTGGAACTAGCTCTTTTATTCCAACGTAGCTTGCTGCATGCAAAAATTAAATTTAAATTAAAAAAATTAAAAGAATAAAATTCTAGTGTACAAAATATATAAATTCACGATTATCAATTGATGTAACATAATACTACCTTTGTTTTTTATTTTTTTTATTTTATTTTATTTTATTTTTTTATTATGTGCAACTAAAAAGAATTATTTGTGAGACATAAAATATTTTTTTGTTACAATTAATAAGAAACAGAAGTAGTAATTATTTTCAAGGTTTTTACGTACCAATAAAATCAGTACTCAATCTTCCGTTACTAAACCTTCCGGTAGCAACATGGCTAGGTAAATCCCTTCCATAAGGTGAAAAATCACTCTTAAATGCTGTCCTTATGTAGTTATTGTTTCCAGGGTCCGCCGTAGAATCACCAAACACAAATATTGCTCGGACCGAATTCTTTGGAGCCTTAGGCTCGAGAGTAGATTGGGCTGTAGCACGCAATATAAATATGAAACTATAGAGAACAATTAGTAATAATAAGTTATGATGGATTGAGGTTAAATTTGTGTTCATGGAGGTTTTCATGCCAAGAAACATGGCAGAATTCTAGGTGACTAATGTGGGTTAATAATTTGTTAATTGAAAACTTTGTATTTATAATATGTTTTTCATTTTATAGTTTAAAGTGTGTTACATAGTCTTTGTACGATGATTTGATGCATTATAGGCAGGTCGCTTTGTTATGGAAAATTAGACATAACTTTGTTCATGTTCTCAACTACCATTTGCCAACTTTTCTAAACCAAAAAATGACTCATTATAATTCCCATATATGTTAAAGTTACAATAATAGTAGTAGTTGTGAATAGTCGTTAAAGATTAATAATTAGTTAGGCCAAAATAATTTATGGTGGGTCTAGTGTCCATTTTTGCCCTACTTCCTTGGAGATATGAATAAAGGAAACCAATCCTAACTAAGTCAATGTGTTATAGTCAAAACCACCTCTATTTTAGAAAAAAATAATTTGAAATTGCCCAAAGATTTCATATCCACAATTTCACATTACACAACTATAGTACATATGAAAGATTTTATAATTAACCAAATTTGAAAACAAAAACTCTCAAACTAGCTACGTTGATACAATGATCAGGATAGATTGTGAGGTCGCATTGAGGGCTCTACACATAACATAAATGTAGCCCACAACTTCTGATACCACTTGTTAGGATAATAGAACCCGTGCATGGTGCATCCAGACTTGTTGGGTTGCACTCTCACCTTGACTCTAATCACACAATATTAAATTTATTATAATTTCTGCTACGGGCCTAGCCCGCCCAAATTAGTTTTTAGACTCTTTGCTAAAAGACCTCGTACGTAGACTACGTACTAATAAAGATAGGTGGACACTTATAAAGATTGCGACTCTTCCTATTTTCATGTGGGATTTTACATTTAAAGCTTGATTAGAGAACTTTTTCTTTCATTGGTAATTAATTCGTGGATAATGGTATATATGAACTTCTCCAATACCTTCACCGGATAGTAATAATAATTGAGGACGAAAGATTTAAGTGTAAACACATAAATTGAATTTCAATGAAAATTTGTTCATATAACATAATTACAAACATGAATTTTCATGTAATACAAGGGTAATTGAGGATTACTCCAAAATTTCACTTTTTATACTCAATACTACTTAATAATGTTTCCTGATTTTCTAATTGGATAGTATAAAATCAACAACAGGACGAAGAGCTTCGAAAAGCAAGTAATACGATCGTTCAGTTGGATGAATTGCATCCCAAAATAGGTATTTAGATCGGTCTTCACATATTGGCAACAAAGAGTTACATGTTAATGATCCTTCAATTAATCCAGTACCGCAACACCCTTTGTCAACAACCTCAAATCCTACATTACAAATCAATAACTCATATTAATTTATTTTTTGACAAAATAATAATATTAATTAAAAGCATGGTTCTTGTATAATAATCTAAGAGTAAGGTTACCTCTTTTTGTACAATAATATTATATAGCTAGTTTTTATAATCAAAGATTTCTTTATATAGTCGACTCTTTAAACCTTATTATTTGTTACCTCTTGAATTTCATAAACTTTTATTATAAAAACTAGCTATACTTCCTCCGTTCCTTAATTAGATTCTTACTTCTCTCTTTTATGCGATGAATAAATGTTAGAAATAGAAATCTAATAAAAGGACGGAGGGAGTATAATATTACAAACATTAAAATCATAATTAGTGAAATCGTGCATGTTAGATTTAACTTTGATTGTATTTTCAAAATATCATTTTATCAAAATTAAATACAACTGTTATCAGAGAGGCATACTTATTGACGAAGGTAAGACTCATAATGTAACAAATAAAAATACGATGTGACTCATCCAATAATACAAGTGTACTTTTTTTTTGAAGCAATATCAAGAAAAAAAAAACTATCTTCAATGATTTTTATTTTCTTTTTTTTGACATCATTTACTTGTTATGGTGGTAGAAGAAATAAATAAATGAGCAATAAATTTGTGTACACTTGGGGTTCTTGAAGAGGATCCATTAAATACTACATCTTTAAATCATTTGTGAATTATTCATCTACTTTCATGACTCCTCACCAAAATAATATTTTTAGTGGAAAGCTAAACGTCGCCCTCGAATCGCTAATTAACGCCCGTAAAATAAACTAAAATTACAAATTTACCCTTTTTTATCAAAAAAATTACCCCCTCAATTTACCCCCTCTTCATACTACTATACCCACCACCACCACCACCTCCTCCTCTTTTAACCACCAACTCCTTACCTTCGGTTTCACGATCTACACAGCCGCGGTAATGACAAGTAAGGATAAAGGAAAGTCGGTCGCCGACGGAGAAAATGTTTTTATTTTTTATTTTTTTTGAATTTGCGGCAAACGCCTAGATTTTTCGCACGTCCTAGGCTCAAACGCCTAGTTCTTGTGAACAACCGTGTGGTTGTATGAAAAATCTAGGCGTTTGAGGTGAAACGCCTAGTTTTTTAGAATACCCTAGCCTGAAACGCCTAGTTTTTTCGAATAGCCTAGGATGTTTCGAAAAAACTAGGCGTTTCAGCCTAGGGTATTCTAAAAAACTAGGCGTTTCAGCCTAGGGTATTCTAAAAAACTAGGCGTTTCCCAACTAGGTGTTTCCTGGGTTTTGAATTGTTTTTTAAAATTTATCGCGACGTACCGATTTCATACGGTTTGACGAGCCTTCTACAAGCGTATAAGGTTGTGTTTCTTGTATTTCGTCGTTGTCCATAAGATCTAACGAAATTGATTTTGCAAATAATACCATCGATGAGCGTTGGTGGCCGTTGACCACTAAGAGAACGGAAAAAAAAATTGTGTACGCTAAAAGTGTGAAATTGAGGTAAAATTAATTATTTTTTATAATCATTATTATAAGGATAAATACGTAATTTTATTTTATTTTGCGGGCATTAGTTAGATATTTGAGGGCGATATTTAACAACTTCCTATTTTTATCTTTAAAATCTAGTCACACGTTTATTTATCTATTTATGAAATGTGGGGGAAAGATGAGCTAGATATAAATGCAAAAAAGCTATAAAATGGTGTAAAAGACAAAGACAAAGACAAAGACAAAGACAAGAAAGGTTTAAATAACAACTTACCATATTTATTTGGGTTGTAAAATTGGTCTTGTAAAGGTTCAAATATATCACCGTACGCAATAGTTGCAATTTGTTGGGAAGCTTGCATGGTTGTCAATTGACGTTTGAGCATTTGGTTGAAATCTTTTGCAATTGATGAAAAAGATTCAATACAACTACGTGGTTGATATAGAGAATTATGCAGAGTCATCACTACGGGTAGGCAACCCACTGGTGGTAGCCCCACTACCCCTATCTTTCTCACGCCACGATCAATTAACGCCTGCATATTGATTTAAATTTAAATTTAAGTGAATTCGTCTTACAAAGTAGATATACTTTAAAATGAGCTTTGTATGCTTACTAAAACATATATGAATAATATATGTAGAGGTCGAGAAATACTCTATAGTGCACCATATGGGGTAATTTTTTTTAAATTTTTTTTTCTTATAAGTTGAAAATTTCCCAATTAAACTAGATTTTGTAAGACTCTACAATAAACTTTTTTGTGTAGTTTATTACTAAGGGTACTTATGCTAAAAGCTTTTAACATGATAAAAAGGATTTATTTTCCTATATACTACCTCCGGTTCAATTTACTCGCAACAAAGGGGTATTATTCTGTCATTTGTTACGAGTAAATTGGATCGAAGGTAGTATATAACTAAAAAAAAAAAAAAACTTCCTTTGCTCGTTAAATGTACAAGTGGACATTCTTAGCTTCTACATAAATCTTCAAACAAACTATAGGGGAAAAAATCGAAGTTGATATGCATGTAAATTCATATCTTTCCATCATATTTATTCATGATATTAATCCTCTGTCTCACTTTTTACGTACAACTCGTTAGGATTGGTTAATGGATTATCACCTGTAAGAAGCCATGATTTTGGTCTAGCATGAAGTGTAGGTAAGCTGCAACTTTGTCAGGCTGCTGAGGCAAATAGTTTGGTACATATGTGTAAACGATGTCGTTTGTGCCGCAACTAATTACAACTGCTGAGTTTTCAATGATGTACTCCATCCTTTTCTTCCCAACCATACGTTGAAGTTTTTTCTTGTATTCATCAAAGTATTGTAATTGGGTCGCCATATCAATTACTTTCTGCAATCATAGATCTCTAGAGTTAATTAGTTTTAATAAAGTACCGAGTACTATAAATTACATCATGAAATTTACAACAACAATGAGACCGACTTACTCCGTCTACTCCAAATTACTAATCAATTCGGCCACAATTGAGGTACATATGTGACCAATATGCATGGTTATATAGGCAATAGGCACTGAATCATATGTTAGACAAGTTTTCTAATAGCTAAACTATCTATAATGTTATATATATGTACCACTGGCATAGCCAAGAATTTCGAATTGTGGGTTCGGAATCTTAAAAAACAAACGATGCTTATATATTAATTAAATATTCAATATATAAGTTCAAATTTTTTATTACAAATGGATGGATTAAACAGTTACAAAATAATAAATAAATAAATAAAAAAACCATACAAAAGCATTCTTCGAGTTTTATACTTTGAAAGCGTGCTAAAACATTACTACTTCTATAAATGATAAATCTATAATTATATTGCAAAAAATGAATATTACACGAAAAAACAAAAATCCCAAGTCCCCAATAAACACAAATTTGACAATGAAATTTTTTTCTAATTAAACTATCAATTAAAAGACCAAGTAAAAATTTTAAATTCTAAGTTTCTAAATTCAATTTGTACGTCAACAATATATCAAAACTAATTAAACAAATCAATAATTAATCTAATTATCACTAATTTACAAAAAAAATAAAGATTTAATAATTAAGAGGAGTAGAGGAATAAGGAGACTGTTGAAACTAATACGTATTAAAGGATAAAAACAATAATAATATTAGATAAGTATGAAGCAAGTAAAATAAAGAACTCATAATATTTCTTCATGCTTAATTCACTAAATACAAGAGCCACATATGTAGGCTAACAAACAACAAATAATAAGCTAAAAAACTGAAAGTATAATGCCATGATTAAACCCACTAAATAAACTCATTAACTTCTAAATTCATTTGACTCTCTAACTTAACAAAATGACCAACATACTACTCCTAAAATTATTGAACCAACTATGGACTAACTCATGAAGAACAACGGAAGAAATCGAAAAGGGAAAAAAAAAAAAAAAAAAAAAACAAAACAAAGCAAAAAAATTAGGGTGGCTGGTCTTGAACCCATGATCAGGAGGAGCCTCACTACTCTATTAGTCACTCCCTTACCAATGTGCCAAATTTACATATTTATTTATTTACTTCACAAAATTTTGTTTTAACCTTATTTTTTTTCTTTTTTTTTTAAAAAAATCAAAACTTATAATTTGTTTTCAAAAAATCTGGGGGTTCAATGAACCCCTTTGAACCCCCTCTAGATCCGCCCATGATATGTGCCTATATTGGCACTGATTTGACTTGAACTTGACCCAAGACTACTATTGATTATTTGATTTGAAGTTGATTTGATCCAATAGTTAGCCAATTCAAACATGATTCAAATTTGAATTTACATGTATATAAACCCACTCTAAACCCAACTCGACGCATCATGAACTTGAAATTTAACTCGACTCATTGTTGACTCAAGCCAAACCAGACCTATACCCAACATGGCAACATGGTAAACAACCAATCGTAACTCAAACTAAACTTCATAAAAAGGAGACTTTATCAGTATGATCCAAGATCTGTCTAACACGATCTGACTCAAATCAACCTAAATATCCTAATTGACGAGAGCTCTACCAATCAATGATTTACGTAATTACGTAAGAGGACTTTCGACATGCAGATTATATTGTATGTTTGAAATTAGGTAAAACCAATATGTGATGACCAAGAAATATTGAACCATCTTGTAAATAATTAATGTTAGGCCATTTTAATTAAAGCTAGGCCCCGACTTCAAAAAAAAAAAAATTTCTTTTTTTGTTATAAGGCCAAGTATTTATTTTATGATAATATATGGCCGTTAGAAATTTAGTTAATTTAGGGCTCTATAAAAAGCCAAAAAAGGTCAAACAAATATTAATTTAAATTGACATTAATTACAATAATCAATATAGAAATTTTTCTTTTGTACAATTTTTGTATTACTTCGTATGGTTTTAGGTCGGGAAATAAGAAGCACCAATAATACCCACCTATACTTAATACTTTATTCTACTCTTGGCAAGCACTTGTTCACTTAGGCCGCGTTTGGTTTAATGTAAAACATTTTTAATGGAAAATTAGTTTTCATGGAAAATATATTTTTAAGGAAAAACACAATTGCAAATTAGTTTTCCTTTGTTTGGTTGCATACAAGAAAAGTCCAAGAAAAATAAAAAAAATAAGAGTGAAAATGTAAGGATGAATGAGAGGGAAGTAAAAAAAGAGGTAAGGAGGAGAGAGGAAAATGTGGCTTCCCTTGTTTTTGGAAGGAAAATGTTTTCCATCATTAAGGATGGAATTTTCCACCCTTGAAAAATTGTTTTCCACTCCTTAACAAACCAAACAAAGGAAAATGGGAAAAAAATGGAAAATGAAAACCTTTTACATCAAACCAAACAGGGCCCTAATATCTTATTGCGATCACTATCTCTTCTTACCCATAAAGTATCACCTTTATTTTACACATGCTAGTGTCTACTCTCTTATTTTAAGCTAGCTACTTCCTTCTTCCTTTAGTTTGTGAATCTATTGTATGGTTGAACTAAGCAAGCTAGGAAATAAAGGGTATCGATTTTGTAAATTGAATCTAGGAAGTCTTTAATAAACTTGATGAAAACTTATCCGAACTTGTGTTTCAGAACTTATTAACTTCTATCCAAACTTACTCTTCTCACAAGCAATGAGTATGAGTGGAAATAAGGTGAACAAAAGAGGTATCTTGATGAGTGTGAAAGTAATGTTTCTTTATGATTTATTTTATAAGCGAATCAAGTAAATTAAGTGGCTAATTAAATTGTCACATGAGTAACTATCTTTTCTTCTTTCTTTGTCTCACTAAGATTTTCTCGTACTCTTTACTTACAAGTTGTGAAAATATAATAAAATAATAAATATCAAATAAACTCATTGGGACATCCAAATTTATTAAACGGGACGATCTGAATGAGACCAGATAAACAAAGTACTCCATATATGAAGTCATGTTTCGTTCGATCCTTACAAGTTACAAGTACAAGCTAAGAAAAAGTGATAAGCCTTGAGACTTGATCCACTTGAGAGTAAAAATGATCATTTCACATGTATATTATGTACGACAACGTGTTAGAGATATGATATCAAAAATATATATATCTGGTATATTTTCCGAATCTTATATCTCTATTACAATGACAATATAATTGGTTAACATTTATGAAGAGAATAGGGAAGGAAGAAAGGAGAGTAGGGTACGTGTGAAAGAGAAAAGGGTACCCATTTTACTTTCGCCTAATTTTCTCAAAATGGATAATGGAGAAAAAAAAAACTTCTTTAATTCCCTGTCTTTATTCAAATAAAAGAAAATAATACATAATAGATTAAATTAAGAAAATTGATTTTGACACATACAGTCATGCATGCAACGTGAGATCGCAATGTTTTTCTCATAAGGAGGTGTGTCAAAATTAGTTAATAAAATATCAATTTCCCCTTAAATTGGGATAGTAAAGAAGATATTAGGGACACAGCGTAGTAACAATTTTTGATTTTTTTTTTTATTTTTTTTATGTGAGGCAAGAAATGATTCTACTTACATTTCTCTCTGCTGTAAGTGGGTCATAACCCGTACCCGCCGAAGCAAAGCTTACACCCGTAATAAGATCCTTCAAGCTAAGATTTGGGTCCAAATAAGCTGGAATTAATGATTTTATACCAACATATGAAGCTGCATGCAACGACACACATGAATTAACTTAAGGAGATATGGTCACATATTTTAATCCTTAGGTTAGTACGTAACACTTTCATAATTCATATTATTTGATTACATAACAAACATACATTATAATAATGTTATTAGCTAGCTTAGCTGATAAAATCTTTTATTCACCAACTTGTTATAAACTAATATACCATGAACGAAAAATGTCGTGAAAAACATACCTATTAAGTCCGTGGGGAGCCTTCCATTAGTGAATCTTCCGGTGGGAGCTTCCTCCGGCAAATCAACACCATAAGGAGGAAAGTTACTTCTAAAAATTGTTTTTATGTAGTTATTATTGCCTGGATCAACGGTCGAATCACCAAATATATAAACTGCTGTAATAGATGATTTATTTGTTGGCTTTTGTTTTTCTAGATTATGGCCATTTCCAACTTTTAAAGCACTGGCCAATATCAGAAAACAAAGTAAGAAACTCAAAATTGGACAATAATATTGCTTACACAAAGACATACTTCGTATTTAGTCAAAGATAGCATGAAAAGAAATTTTATTTTATTTTATGTAAATGTAAATATGTGTGTTGAGCACTTATATATATAGTCTGTAGGTCTTAATTTATAAACTTTCTAGAGTGTTGTATATTAAGCATTTATCAGTTACATTTACATTTACAGTTAGATGGGACAAAAATGTCCGTATTAAATTATAATATATTCTGCTTGCAATGAGCTTAAAATTAGACAGCTCGATTTAACTTGGATCACAATTTTTTTTTGATTTAATTTTTATCTTTTATGTATTACAGAAATTGATAATGATAGGTCTTAAATTTTGGAACTTATTATATATTTTTATTACTTTTAATCACATCAGATCAGACTATATCAGAAGAGTTCATACTTGGACAAACTGGATCTTCTAACTTGATGAATATTTTACACTAACTTCAACTACAATTTTTAGTAATGTACGTAAAAAAAAAAAATAGTATCAAGTAAAATTCTTGTAGACTGATATTATTGTGAAATTTACTAATATATATATTTTTTTATCAATATTTAATTACATATATTCAAACTCATATTGCACATTAAAATGTGTATCTAATTTGATTGTATTGGTTATTAATCATGGAACATAAAAGGATTAAAAAATTGCTATATGAAATTATAATTATACGTGTTGAGATGAATCAATTTAGATTTATGTTGACTATATTTTGCAATGCATATTTACTAAAGATGGTTAAATATAATAGAGTATCAATTAAGTTGTTGCGAGTAAATTAAATAGAATAGAACAAGTATCCCATTTCTCATTGCAAAAACCCAATATATACATATATACTCTTTGCTGTTGTCAAAAAAAACAAATATATATATATATATATATATATATATATATATATATATATATATATATATATATATATATATATATATATATATATATATATATATATATATATATATATATATACTCTTCAAAACTTGTTGCTTAACTTAATGCTTGCAACCACATGATAAGGTTTGTTACTTTGCCAATCTCTTTCTCACTTCCACTTTTTCACTGTTTAAAATTTTGTACACTCTCTCCATGTTAGAATATATTAAAACAATAGAGAAAGTATACTAATAAGTAAATTAACAAAGTTAATTAAAGTACAGACAAATCAAATATTATGATCAATACAAACTTTTATATGTGATTGGCCACATCGTGTGGCCAATCATTATAGGGGTTAATTTGTTAGTGCTATAGGGGTACTTCACTCGGTCAAGAGTTACTCGGTCGGTCAGGGATTACTCACTCGATCAACGGGTACTAAGTTGGCCTGGAGCTACTTGGTCGATCGGTCAGGGGTTATTCGATTAGTTAGGGATTATTACTTGTGGGTTAGGGGTTACTTGGTATGTGTCACCTGGCCACACGATGTAGCCAGCCATACACAAAAGTTGTTGTATTATCAGACTGTATCTACAGATTAATTTAAACAAGCAAGATTGTATTTTAAAATCAATGCAAAACACCTTATTTAGTTAGGGGAGACAAAGCCTAAGACTTTACCAATAAAGATAATGAAGTGAATGACTCAATACATAATCTGACCAAGAACAAATCATATCCAGATGATTCGTTTTTCATCTCTTGTAACGTATCTTAAACATACTTGGTCGGTTATATACGTTATTGACAAGATGACAATGGCATGATGAGGCAGTTTGAATTGTGTGTGTGTATAAAAATTAGTTGCAACATACAACTACTTTGGGGCCTTTGTATTATGAATTTCTTGATTAAGTTAGGCCCACATGTAGCATGCCTCTTTAAGTTTAATATTTACTCTCAATGTTTTTAACGACATATTAGTGGATATGTACAAGTTTAAATGTTGACATTACATACAAAGTATATGCAATTATGCATTATAAACTGATCCATTTGTCGATGTATAAGTTTTATTGTAGATGCTAAGCATGATAGAATACTAAATACCCCTTTACGATCAATAATGATGCCTTTCATTTGGCTAAATGAAAAGACGTGGTCTGATTTTAATCTTTAGTTTTGTCTCCTTATTTTGGGTAGTTGATGGGGAGGGGTAAGATATTAATTCTCCATAATTGTTGGGCCACTAATATATAATTGTAGTATAAATGTTTAATATTAAATCTCTATCACTATCAAAACAACTTCTAAGGGTTGTCATATATAGAGGAAGATATGAAGTGGACCTTGCAAGACCTAACAAATCAACTAAGGGGCCCTGCCTAATTGATGCAATATTATGGCGATCATCATACAAAATATTAAAAGCTCCCTTATTTATGGTTCAAAAGATGAAAAAAGAAAAAAGTATTATAATCCAACTATCCAAGTCTACAATAAGTAAATAAAATGGTTGAAGTTTCATCAGAAAATTTCAATTTACATATAGTACACGAGCACTAATTATATTTAAATTGGAGAAAAATTAATGGGTATACATATTCTTGTAAGTGCTAATATTGAGGAATTGAATATGCTTAAAATGTAGTGTCCAGGTTACAATAACGCAATGTGTTTGAGGCCCTGTAGTGCAATTTATCAAAATAAGGGTTTGTTCACATTTATTGGACTAAGCTGAATTGAATTGAACTGAACTAAACTGATTGGAGCTGAACTGAATTGAACTGATTGGAGCTAAATTGAACTGAATATTTTATGAAAGAGGGAAATTAGGAGATGAACTGAACTGAACTGAACTGATTGGAGCTAAACTGAACTGATTGGAGCTGAACTGAACTGTTTAGAGCTGAACTGAACTGAACCGAACTGAAATTAAGTAAATGTGAACAGGCCCTAATGCCCTCTATTTCGTGAGAGTTTTTCAATCACTATTGTCGCAATACTTGCAAAACAAATATAATTTAGAAATGTAGATTTTATCAAACGAAAAATAGGAAGTGATAATAATTAATTAGGGAGTTGAAGGATTTTTGTAGATTAATTGGTAATAAATAAAAAATTAAGATAAAATCGTGTTTTTTTTTTTAAAAAAAAAGTATTGTTCATATCATTGACCATAAGGGACATATAATGTTTGTGCCATGCTCATGTACTCTACACCATTGCTCCAACTAAACATATCATTGACTATGAGGAACAAACATGTATATGATAGAGAATATCCATAGAATATTCTCATCTTAGGTTTAGGATATATTTTGTATAAGATTATCTTTGATATCTGTACATATCTTGTAGTTACCTAATATGAGAAACCTAATCATATCTCGTGTGAGGGGACGTGACAGAGTATAAAACATATTCCCGGGCTTCAACTGTGTCAGCTTAAGCTTTTGGTTGAGATGGTCCTCTGACATGGTATCACAACTTAGGTTAGATCTTGGGATCATATAAAAAAATTCTTACCCTGCCGGTGGGTTAGAAAATTAAATCCACCGGCGGGATATACAAAGTTTTTTATGCTTCCGCAAACACGCATTCTTTTCTCAAAGTTTTTTTTAGAATCTTTACGTAACCTTGCGCCTCCCACCAACAGTAGCAACCGTGAAAGCGTCCTCCATCATGGGTGGCAATCGCATACACTACCGCCTCCCACTACTGGCAGTAACCACATATGCCAACCTACTCCATGTGCCTCACTCTATTTCCACCTCCCCATGACCAACAATGATTATTACATTGCCTCATTGGTTTTTTCTACACATAATCACATAGATTTTGTTTTGGTGGTGGTATATTACAATAAGGTCAAATTTTTCCACATCTCTTTTGCTATCAAGTTAGCTCCTTTTATTGTTGCAGCACTTGGAATCTTTGTGGAGTATTAATTCTTGCTACCTGGTTTCTCTTTTGAGAATTGATAAATTTCAAGCGGTGGAATTTAATCTTTTCTTGCGCAATTTTATTTGTTTTTCTTCAACTGTGATTTCACGTAGTAGTGTAGTGTCTTCTCCCCGATGATGGTTTGATCCCTTAACTTATTCTTCTCTGGATCTGCAACTTGGCCCAAGTATATGCGTGACTCTTCTCCTTCGGCCTAATTAAAAGCGCATATCTCTACTATACGTAGGTCGTGGTTGTTGCTTCTCATCGTCATCACCAGCACACGTCTACTACTTCTCTTTTGATCATGGGTTATTATACTATCCTTACCGTTCGCTGCGTGATTAAGATCCAGTCTGAGCATCCAATTTTCTCCCGCTCTGACTGCGGGGGTGTGATAGAGAATATCCATAGAATATTCTCATCCTAGGTTTAGGATATATTTTGTATAAGATTATCTTTGATATCTGTACATATCTTATAGTTACCTAATATGATTAGGTTTCTCATTGTAACTCTATAAATATTGATCAATGAAAATCACTCTAATCGAGGAGTTTATATTATCTGACAGTATATACAAGTATATATCTAATATTTGGGGGGCCTGTTTGATTCCGTCGACCACCCTACATCTGCCCAAAACCACCTCTACTAAAATGGTGAGTTAATGCAATGTTTTCGGTTTTAAACTTTTATTGTCTATAATCATAATTTTTCTAGATTGGCCTAGGTTGATTATGAATTTTTCTAGTTTGGTCATATTTTTCGCGAGTTTGATATGGTCTACTTTGATTTGATATTTTAGAAATAAAATTGTTGTTACCATGAAAACAAATTTAGAGAAGAAGACAATACTCATTTGTAATCGTATATAAGTTGTGAGTTGTGACACATTTTACACCTGCCCCTAGAACTTATATCATCGCCATCAATACGAGGTTCTTAGTGATGATGATTGTGCCTTGGACTAAGTTACACGCTTACACATACAAATACCTTCCAACTTCATATCTAAATCACTGGAAGACTCAAATTACTTTAAGAACTACTCACATCTTTTTTATGAAATTATTATGTTTAGGGTTTGATTTGTTTTATTCTCTAAATAGTCGAAAAGAGGTCAATTATAACGGATGTGAAAAGAACAGATAATGAATGTAAAATAATTAACAAGTAAAAAAAAACACATATTTAACGCGGTTCACTAACAATGCGATGGCCAATTAAGCGAGTGACCTA